ACTTATCGCGGACGTCCGATTTAGATTACAGTCTATATCGGACGTCCGATACAGATCGAACAATAATAAACGTGCTTAATATATGTTCTTAAGCGTTTTTTTGCAATTTTCTGCGCTTTTCAAAGAACATATGTTAAGCACGTTTATTATTGTTCGATCTGTATCGGACGTCCGATATAGACTGTAATCAATAAAAGACCTTTGAAAAATGCAGAAAACTACAGAAAACGCTTAAGAACATATATTAAGCATGTTTATATTATTGTTCAATCCATATAAGATTTAGATTGAATCTAAATCGGACGGAAATCTAAATCGGACACAACATATAGATGAAATTGCCAAAGCTCTGCGCGAATTTCGTTTGAAATTTTTATAGAAAATTTTATTAAATTAAATGACAAAAAAGACTTCGTTAAACTAAATCCCTCATAGAAAATATTTAAATTAAAATAAAACGCAAGGTGGACAAGGAAAATACAGTAAAAATTAGAATATGAATTAATTAAGGATCAATAAATGGAAATTCAATAAGATTACAAATAATCTGGTAAATTCACAAGCATAAATTGAAAGACCTTTCAACACCTGCGAACAACTCTTCGTACCTTTTAAAATGCTCGAAAATTCCGAATTTGGAATTGAATTCCGATCAAAATGCGAATAACAAAATTGCAGCACTTGGCCGGGAGAGCGCTATTACTAGCCCTCCAATTTTATAGGTTAGTGTACAAAACAAATTTCAATTTTCTTAAGCGAAATTTGATGAGGATTGCTTTAAAACCAACCGTAAGTCGATCCGATCGCCGTAAGTCGAGATATAGACAGCTCTAACGACATGCCGTAGGAGTCTTTTGACGAGGTGAACAGAGTTTATGGAAAATATCATTTTTGTTCTTAACAACTATTCGTCTTGTCTTGAGCTATTTTTTTACTTTGGCTTTTACTAAAAGAGTCGTGATATTTTTGGTTTTGTGTTTGTGTGCTGTGCATTTTGTGTGCTCCATTTTGTGTGCTCCATCTTGTGTGCTCCATCTTGTGTGCTCCATTTTGTCTGTCCCTTTTGTTTCTTGCTCTTGCTCAAAGTATTGGTCTGTTTAGGAGAACAGAATACGATCTTTTCGTATGTAACCACGAAATGTTGAACCAATTGGGCGGCTTATTCATATGAAAGTCCAAGTTTTAGCCATTGACTGTTCCAGATCGATAAGCGAGGTCCCGGGTCAAGCATGCAACAAGCCGACAGGTCGTGTCTGCTATGAGGCCGTGCAGGGGATCGGCGAATGGCTTCTCGCGGTGCCCACAGAAGGCAGCCAATTTATTGTTGTTTGATTGATGTCAAAAATTGTATCTACCTAATTAGAGTGTGTTCTATACTTTCAAAGTGTTCCCCTAACCTCTCGTTGAATACCTTTTCATTTTGTGGGAAAATTCATGGCTGATCGAAAGCGATTTTTGGGGTTTCGCACCTCGTCTCCAACAACACCCTGAGGGAGACCAGAAGTTGCTCAAAATCGCCCCGGGCGTCACCAAGGAACTCAAGCTCTACGCAACGTACGGTATGACTTTTCCATTTCTATTAAATAGCGCATAAGACCTCCCCCCAAGATGACAACAGATTCTTCCAACCGCTCAGGTGACAACCTTGTTGTCATCTTGGGGGGAGGTCTTATGCGCTATTTTCCCTTATCGATCTATTTTCTAAATTTAGTTGAGCCAGGTGTTTACTCGCTCAAATTCTACGGTTGGGTCAAGGGATTGATTGTTCATTCTTTTCCTTCACTCAAATCTGCCTTTTCATTTCCCCATCCATATGTTGAAGAATTGAAGCAGATTACTCAAGAGGATCCAGGTCTACATCTACAAGCTTACCGTAATCTGGATAACTCACTAGCTTGATTAGAAATAACTCTCTTGACTTTGCGTTACAAATGGGTTTGTTTTCGATTAAAATCTTTATTCTGCAGTATTCAAACCTAAAAGAAACTAGCGGCTTTCATTTAAATCATCAATGCTAAAATTGTTCAACGAATCTTTGATACTCTTCTGGCTCTGGAAATATAGTCGATTACAGAAAATTTGTTTTAAAAGCAAACCATTAATCATCTCGATTTCTCGTTTACTCCTAGGGTTCATAGCGTTCATAGGGCTTGAGGGTTCATAGCGTATAAGACCTCCCCCCAAGATGAAAAAAGGTTTTGAGACGGCACAGGTAAAACTCGTTGTCATCTTGGGGGAGATCTTATGCGCTCATCTTGGGGGGAGGTCTTATGTGCTGTGCCGTCTCAAAACCTTTTTTCATCTTGGGGGAGGTCTTATGCGCTATGAATCCTGTTCTTCTAGTTTTTTTTGGTCATTGGTTGTGATTGAGATTTTGCAAAATTTTGCAATAATTTGCATTAGAAATCTTCCTCTTCCTCGTCCTCGTCCTCTTCTGGCTGGCCAAACCAATCCAATCGATCCGGATACCAATTTCAAAAGAACCCACCGACATCACAACTAAATGAACTGTGGGATCGAAGAGATCCAAAAACGGCAAAAGATAGCATCAAATAGCGATAATTACCCATTATAACCAACTTATTATAACTTATTATAGTGATTGTAACCAACTACCAGTAAATTAGGAAAAAATTTGACAGAGAGCCGACAGGGCTGAACAAAATCGCAACAAAATACAAAAAGCTATCATGATGCTGTAAAAATCTCTAACTTTTATATCAAATTTTGTATCAATTCTTTAGTTTTTTGATGTACCGGAACAGAACTGAAAATGAATTTTCTTTTCTATTCACCTATCTTTTTTAGGTATATTCCTTGTTATCATAAAAATAATCCTCCTTTTCCCTTCGTTTTCTCATTTAATTCCCTTCCTTGGGTAGACGTTTTTCGATTCTGCATCTAGCACGTAAGAACCTTTACGGTTTATTTCACTCTCAAAGTCACAAAGTATACCAGGGTTTCTTTTCTCAAAAAAAAGAGCCGTCCCAGCATAAATCGTAGAGAAAATCACATCGGTTCGACGTTTTAAACGATGCCCATTTTCTCCTTATTCTTTCTCTTCTACATAACTGCTACACAATCGTTAATAACGGTTTTCAATTTAACCACTCAATTCCCATCTTATGCTTTGCATGGAGCTAATTTGGATAAATGGAAGGTAAATATTTTGAGAGAATCAAAAAAGATTTTCCTCAATCACTAGCTGAGCACGGCTTTCTTATATAACTCTTCAAATGGTGCTTATTTTTATGTCTAATTCAAGTTGTTTCCTATGTCGAGTTTTAATCTCTAAATTAGAATCATAATTGAGTAATTGTGCTCAGCACTTTAGATTATTCAAGTGAACGGTTGTGTCGATTGTGATTTCCTTGTCGATTTCTCTTTTCGTGTGTGCAACGAGGTGCCGAATGGACAAGAAGTGAGTGATTCGAGGAGGGACACGAAAATGAGATCCTTTTCCCCCATTTAGCACTACACCGATTTGAACATTGTCATCTGCAAAGATCCATATCCATTCACAATCAACGGAAAACCACCATTGAATCCCCATTGTGAATGGCGGTTGCTGCTTGGTTGACAACAAATTTATCAAACAAACCTTTAGAGCTTTAATTGTTTATGAGGGTGACTCAAAAAACCCCTGGGATGATCTCTATTCTTGCTCATATCGTCTAAACGGAGAGGAACGTCTCACCGTGGGAGCTGCCTCGCAAAAAGTCTCTCAAAACGCTTTCGCCTTCTCATTTCGTGTTCGGCAATGGGTTAATGGTAGGGGAAAGGAGAGAGATGAAGAACCTATTAGGTTGGCCCAGTCTCTAGACACTTCTTTTCTTTAAGGCGACAACCCGAAAACGCAATTTAGACGCTTTGTTCCACATAACTAAAAGATAAGGGGCAAAAAGTTAGGTATATAGCTGAATTTTTAGAATCGCCTGTTCAGCCAATTTCTTCGTAGAGGTTTTTACAGATTTTTTTTTACGAAAAACACTTTTTTCACTTTTGAATTTGCTTGAAAGTGGATTCAAATCGTCTTAAAAAAGATAGAAGAATGAATAATAAACGTTTTCTATTCTATTTTATTTAGAGCCAATTTTAGGTTTGGTATATTGTGCTGTCATTTATAAACGCTAGTAGAAAAAAAGTGTCTAAAGACTTATGAGGGCAACCTAGTACAATATTACGAAGCCAAGCTTTATGCTCACCAGTTAGACATTTAACTAGGGGTAATCGGGGGTGATTCAATTTCTGAGCTGAGGTTTTGATATTAAAAATGAATACTATTGAAATTTGGATAACAGACCTGTTTTTTTGATAAGCACACTGCTAATTTTCACATGCAAATTTTTCTTTGCCATTTTCTCAAAACAAAGTGTCCAAGTGTTGTTTTTACTTTAGAGTCGATCCCAATGTTCGTTCTACCGGCCAGTGGAAACGAGTACTTTTTAGTCGAAAAAAGTACGATGGTTACTCTCGTCGCTGATCCAAGTCTAGCATCGTTTGTCGAATTTCACTAGAAAAAACCTTTTCTTTCATAAAGAAGTCCGCGCCTGAATACAGCGCTTTTTCTGGAGCTGCATGGTCGAGTCGAAGATGATTACGAGAGTGGGTTCCAGCTGTATGAGGTGAGATCAAGAATCAACTGTTTTGGTCTATAATGCAACGGTTTCGACTCGACCATTAAGAATCGATACGAAACTCAATACATCTTTTTTTACGGTGAACACGATACCCTAACGATTAGCCTCAATGTTGGTCAAATAATCCTCAACGCATCGTGCAATTTTTCAGCAACTTTTTTCATACTCACATCTCCATTGATTAATTTCTATTATTTTGGTATGCATTGCCCATGAAAAGATCTACAAATTTGTATTAAAACCAAAAGAATTGACCAACGGAGACGTGAGTTAGGCCAAGTTGCTGAAGAACTTTAATTGCGGCTGACCCAATTGGAGTTTTTGGCTAAACTTGAGCGTTTTTAGAAAAAGCATTAATCGATGATTGAAACATGGCTTAATTCCCTAACCATTAGGCGGACATCACATGCAATTGGCCTTTCACCTATTCGTTTTTCCCCGGATCCGATCCGGGTCTGCGATGGCGAGAGTCTCTCGACTTTTCTCTCGATCAGTCAGTTCTCAAAAATAGATTTTCCAAAGATCTTCAGATCGACAATCTTTTCAACATCCACCGTCATCACTTTTCTCGGCAATGACCACTGTACTTTTACGGCTATTATTAGTCTGTGAATTGGTTTTTCCATTGTTTTTCTTGATTTCAGTGCAAAACAACGCGCAAGCGCTCCTCAATTATCTTCCAACTTATCTTACCTCATACAGTTATCCATGGCCTTTCGATAATCCAACCGATTACCCACGATGTCAACAAGCTCGAGCCGATTTCTCGCCGTTAATTGTGGGGATTTTAAACAAACAGGGTCTTTTGGTCTAGATGTCTATAGGAGCACGTAGTTGCCCGCTTTATGCTCAACTATTCCGTAGATTGATCGAGTTTTAAAAATTTCATTTAATAGTGAAAAGAGCTTGTGAAAAAGTTGTGGATAAAAGAGACACCGACACGCGTTTTACCGTTATGCTCTTAGAGACATGCAGCCCAAAATTCCCAGGTTTACTCTGTCATTCTGCGGAATAGTTGAGTATAAAGGGTTTTCCATTATACTCCTATAGACGTCTAGACCAAAAACACCATTCCCACGATTGTACACGAGTGAATTTTAGTCAAAAACCGAGCGCCGCATCGCCATTGATGTGATCAAATTGGAAAACGGTACTCTGAAACTGTTTTATGGCACAAATCCATCAAACGAAAAGGGATTTTGCACGAAACCGAAAATCGAATCAAAAAGCATCGAGTTTGTGGCAGAGATTAGCAAAAATGAGATCATTTCAGTCTCGTCGATCAACAAAAAGTCGCCGTTTCAGCGGAATGCTTTCATGTGAGATCGTTTAAGAAGCATTAATAGCATTGGAAAATATTGTAGCTCGAGTTTTGTCCCCTTCAAAATGGCACAAAAGATCGTTTTGGTTTTGTGGTGAAGGCGAGTCGAGCGCCGGTCGATCCGAAACTCGTCGAATGCAAGCTGACTTACACGTTGAGCACCGAGAACCCACAAGTTCTCCTCAACTTCCAAAATATCTACATCCAAGAGGGTTGGTTTATTTCTTCGTCTTTTGGTACTTGTGTTCTAGTGGGCTAAGGCTCAGGCTTAGGCTTGGACTTAGTGCGAAGGCTAGTGGCTAGCGCCTCGCACTAATTCTATTTGGGTTTGGGCTAAACCCCCATTTTCTGGATCTCAGCCAGTTCTCGGAGCTAAGGGACTCCGCTTGGCGATGCTCATGCGCCCCCATAGAACTTGGCACTTGTGTTCTAGTGGGCTAAGGCTTAGGCTTAGGCTTAGGTCTAGGCTTAGACTTAGGCTTAGACTTAGTTAAAGTTAAATTAACATTTAACTTCTTGCAAATAGGCCCAGATGACTGTCATTGTGATAATTCTTAAAGAAAATTCAGCGATTTGTCCTGAAAATGTTTTAACTTGATGAGTGTCTTTAAAATGTAAGCAGAGATGTTTCTAATGCAAATTTTGCGCCCATCAAATGTTCAAACACTTTTTTGAAATCATATTTAAAAAGTGACTGGTACGAAGCCAATTTGTGTGGAGAGGAAATGTGGAAATGCTTCGAGTTGTCCGATCCTCATTGATATTTCGTTTGCTTGTTACATTGAGGATAAGGTATCAGAAAAGTGCCACTCTTATTTGTTTTTCTCTTTTTCTAGAACCGTTGCATCAACTCATCCCCATACACAATCAACGGTGAACTTCCAGAAATCGAAGATTGGGAGATTCGGTGACAAATCTTTGTTTTTTATTTGACTCTTTCTTTCAGGTACACATCTCGAGGTGTATTTTTTCTGCTACAGGCTCGTCTCACCAAAGAAAGTCGCGTCTATTTGAGTTCGAAGGTCGATGCATCGGGCACTTTCTATGGGGGCTACTCATTTCGATTGCCCAACACAACGCTCGGTTTGTTTACTCAACAGCGTTTACAGAGAAGCATTTTTGCCCTCCATTCTAAAATACTACCGTAACCCGCGCGATTTTTCGCTCTTTTCTTCTAAAAGCGTGTTTTTTTTCATTTACAGGGTGCGGCAAAAGTTCTGACACTTTTTTTCAAACGGCTGTATAAAATTTCAAAAAACAGTATTTGGCTCACTTTTTGTTTTTAACATTTGTTAAACTGTTTTTCCTTATTTTTAACAAGAAACAACGTTTTTGTTTAGGTTCGCTTTCAATATGGATGCTAAAAAGAGGCGCACTGTGATACTTGAGTTGCACAAAGCCGGAAAGATACCGATGGAGATTGTTCGAGTCACCGGATATCCAAAAAAGTCTGCCTATCGAACCATGGAACGATTCAAGGAGCGGGGCAACGATCAGGACCGTCCAAGAAGCGGCCGACCAACCACAGCCGTCACTCCAGAGAACACAAACAAAGTCAGATGCCGAATCCGTCGAAATCCCACTCATTCAATGTGAAAGATGGCCACAAGCCTCGGAATCAGCAAAAGAAGCGTTCGAAGGATTGTTCATAAGAAACTTGGAATGTTCAGCTACAAATTTGCTCGGGCTCATTTCCTGAACGACGCCATGAAGCAAATGAGGATGGCTAAAGCGGAGAAGATGTTGCGCCTGGTCGCTGCTGGTCGTTTGGATAAGGTTGTGTTCACAGATGAGAAGATCTTCACCGTTCAACCGATCCACAATCGTCAAAACCATCGCCAACTTCTCAAGCGAGGTTTGAAAAACACTTTTGCAGCCAAATTGATGATCCGCCAACATTTTCCGAAGTCCGTTATGGTGTGGGCCGGCATCTTTGCCACAGGAAAGACGCCTCTTGTGTTCATCGATCGAAATGTGAAAATCGACGCTAAGGTCTACCAGCGAAAGGTGTTAAAGGATGTCTTAGAGCCCTGGGCAGCGAATCATTTCGGAAAAACTGGATTTACCCTTCAGCAGGACTGGGCGCCGGCCCATGGAGCCCGCTCGACTTAATTCTATAAAAACATACAACGTTAAAGGGTGTGTTATTGCTGCAAAAAAAACTCGGCCATTTTAAGGCTAACCACATCAATCGTTTCAATTTGCTTTTCCTTGGCACAGAAAGTTGTAATAGGCACAATTCTTGGCTTTCCTTTAGCCTGCCTAAAAACAGAAGTTTGAGAGCATTTAATACTAAAACTTACTTTGTTTTGGCCTCCTCAAATATTTCCTTGTGTTTGTTATTGAGATGATCGTTGAGGTTTTTCGTACCGCCTTTTTTGCCTCTTTTGTATTTGGTGTTGCAGAGGTTACACACATCTTCGTCGCCAATTCTTGCGAAAAACGATCGGGCAATTGAGGACATTGCTAAAAAAATGAAGTTTAGTGAAATAAAAAAAAGCCAAATTAACAATAAAAATAATTTTCATGAACGCAAAAAAAAATGATAAATGAATGTGAGAGAGCATCGCAGCCTTTATAAACTAAGCATAAAGTATTCAGTCAAGAAAATGGGAGGTCGCAGTTTAGACATTGGCGCTACAAATTACAAACGTAAACTACAAACGCTTCTAACTGGCTTCAAATCTGTTGCATTGACATGAATAGAGAATAGAGAATCTCAAAAAATAGAGAATCTCAAGTGCTTTCGAATGAACTCAAGTACATCCAAAATATCAATGCTAAAGAAAGTTATAGTGGTTTGTATTCTGGCTCGATCGTTTCAACTTCGTGCGAGTACGGTCCGTTTCGACAGGACCAAAAACTTTAACTTTCTTTAGCAATGATATTTTTGAATGTACTTTAGTCCATCCAAAAGCACTTGAGATTTTTTTGAGTTATAGTTCATATCAATGCGACAGATTTGAAGCCAGTTAGAAGTTTTTATAGTGTGACAGTTCGTCATTTTTGTAGTTTATAGTGTCCATGTTCATCGCAGTTTAGAAAAGATAGTTGGCATTAGTCCAACAAAGCCGGGTCGCGGGTCGGGTCAGCGGGTCACCCGGGAAAAAAGCCGGGTCGCGGGTCGGGTCAGCGGGTCACCCGGGAAAAAAGCCGGGTCGCGGGTCGGGTCAGCGGGTCACCCGGGAAAAAAGCCGGGTCGCGGGTCGGGTCAGCGGGTCACTTTTGACCCGACCCGACCCGCTGCCCATGTCTAATGTCTAGTAATTTCCCCTTCCTTTTAGATGAGACGAATTTCCTCTTCTTTCCCGTCACCAATTTGCTTCACATGCGTGAATTCGGCTTTCGATTCGCCGAGTCACCACGCGGAACGTGGTTTTCGATGACTTTAGTACTCGATACAATCCTGCAACTGAGAAAATTTCGCGGAGTAAGCAGATTTAACGTTTAGTTCCTCTGGAGAATGCTGGAGATTTGACAGAGAAAGCCAAACTATGGTCTTAAGTTATTTATTGCTTTCCACGATATGCAAGTAGTGTTAACAAAACATTGAATGATAGTCAGAAAGAGTACTGGAGCAATGACCTCCCGTTTACTGCAGACATTTTCTGGTTTTCAACAAAAACCCACGAAAACTGTCTTTTAGGATCACGGGAATCGCTCGTGCGAGTATCAAATAGTGAACGGGTCACCCGGTGGCTTCCTTGGCCATCCCGAGTTTCTATTGAACACGTATCGGTAAGTTTTTCAATTTTTCGGCTAACGTCTCAAACAGTGTGTTCTCCTTTCTAAAAGACACCTAATTTCTAGAACAACAGTAATCAAAGAATGAGTTTTAATTGTAGTGCTGGCTGACTGAGTATTTTGATTCCTCATCGATTGTTACTAAAATTGAGCTGTTTAAATCATTGAGGATTAGATGAAGCGGTTTTTAGCCGACTTAGAAAAGAGCACCCAAATTTCAATGAGTCTTTAGTGATACCGATGTCTTTCAAGAGCAATCTCTCATATATTCATCCTACAGTATCTACATACCACCTGGATGTGCTCCAAGTATCGCTTTCAACACATCATCCGGTAAACTTTGACAGTACTTTGCTTGTTTCATATCTTTCTCGTACAGCAAACAATAAGCTGAGACTTCGTAATTGTGGCGGGACGGTGTTTCTCGCGGTTCTCGACGATCAACTGAATATCCCGTTGAACCAAATAGACGCTGCCTATTTTTGCGGTCAAGTTTATTCTTTTTTATCTTTCTTTTCTTTACCTGTAGACATTTGCACTTAACCGAGTCCCGGCCCAGATTCGGATCGAAGTAGGAAAATTTGTGCCGGTTCGATTTGGTAGCAAACTTTACAGGGCATCTGATAGTAAGATTGTGTGAAAACCATCAAACTTATTGTATTAAATTTCCCTTGTTATTGTAGCAGAGAGATGAAACTTGATAAGAAAAGCTGCAACGAGTGCTTAATCACAATGCACCCACTGAGTGCTCAACAAACATCATGTTGTTTTTCCTTTTCGATTAAAAGAGAACATATTCTGTTTGCTTTCAGATCTTTTCCCCGTCAACATATCGTTTCAAACAAATTCTATTGGATTCGGTCTAATCTCGGTTAAATATTTGAAGAATTTCGGCGACGATTGGCTAGATAGCGAGTTAGCTTCTTTAAAATAAGAACTTATTTTTTGAATTTGATTCATTTCTCTTTTAGCGTCAACACGACACTTTCCAATGTGCGAGCGATTCAGGTAAAAGGGAAAACAGTGAAAAAATTGATTGTGAAATACTTCAGCTTCAATGTACCATTATGTCCAAATGGGAGAAATACAAGAAATGCTTTGCGAAGATTCATTTTGTTCGTTCTTTCCACAATCGATTCGACGATCCATCACCGGTAACCCAAAATCCATCAAATCAAGCTGAGAGATGCCCCAATCCCATCTCTTTTTTTACATTTACTCTTTCACTAGACATCTTTTTCTTTCTCAACACTAGCTGGTAGCTTTTGAAATCTTTCAACTCAAAACATTTGATCGTTTGTAGGCTGTAAGCTCCAGTGATTCATATTTCGTTATTGATATTAGGTACTTGCAAAAGAAACTGCGGATTATAACCAACATTTGAAAAACCCAAAAATCAATAAGAAAATAACTTTATTCCAAAAGATATTTGCCATCATTATCAACTATGTTCTTACATTTTTTGCGTAGACTTCGGATGTCTGATTCGAAAAATTCGGGGTCCGGCGATGCAAAGTAGTCTTGCACCCAAATTTCGACTTTTTCAGGATTGTTAAACGTTAGATTTGCAAGAGAGTGTTGCATAGACAGGAACAAGTGGTAATCTGAGGGAGCAACATCAGGCGAATAGGGCGGATGAGGCACAAGTTTCCAGCCTAATTCTTCTATGGTGTTTTGAGCCAAGTTTGATGTGTGTACCCGGAAATCGTGAGCGAGTAAATGGATTGCCCTTGGATTAACACCTCTTTCTCGTAGAATTTCATCAACTTTCTTCAGCTGTTCGGCGTAGATTTGAGAAGTTATAGTTTTTGAAGATTTTTGTAGTTCAAAATAAACGATTCCTTTCATATTCCAAAAGACCGACAGCATAACTTTCTTTCCGTGAAGTTCTGGATGTGATGTCGGAATCGGCCTTTCTCCTTTGCTCAACCATTGTCTTTTGCGTGTTGCATTATTGAAATATGTCCACTTTTCGTCCATCATCAACATGTTTTCAAAAAAGCACTGCCCGTAGCCTTTTTCAATAGAAACCGAGACCATAAAACTCGATTGGCTTTGTTTTCAGGGGATAATTCATGTGGGACACATTGGCCACAACGATTCCTTTTTCCAATAAGCGCAAGGTGTCGAGAAATTGTGCTCGAATCACATTTAAAGTATTCGGCTAATTCGGGCAAAGTTTGAGTTGGATCCAACTCGACAATCTCCAGCAACTCCGCATTATCGAAGACAACTGGACAATATCCATCTTCCAAGCTGCCATCCCCTTCACGAAAACGTCGAAACCTTTCCTGGCAAGTCCTTTCACTCGAAATGTTTTCTCCGAATGTTTCACAAAGATTCCGGTGCGACTTCGATGCTGATTTCTTCATTTTGAGGTCATAGAGAAGGCACGCTCGGAACATGAGTTTTTGCTCCGTCATCTTCTACCGAAGATTATGTAATATTTAATGATAGCAATAGTTGTGAAAATAATTAAAATGAATAAGCAATAATAATACAATATAATACAATTTAAACCGGACCATCACACTTTCAAATAAAAAAAAACTTTCGTCCTCGGAAGTAATCCGCAGTTTCTTTTGCAAGTACCTAATAACATGTCGCTTTCTTTCCCATTCTGTTTAACTTTTATAGATACGTGACTACTGTGATAACCATTCATGAAATTAGTTAATCTGTCTTTGCAAACTAGCCAGTTGAAATAAGTAACTTGTTTGAGTGATGAGAATAAACACTTTTTGCAAACGATTGAACCAATGAAAAAACTCTCAAACAAAAACGTTTTCTAAAAATAAACTCAACTTTTTGTTCATTTTCCTGTCTTGATCACAAAGTTTTTATATTCTTCTACAGTTTTATTGATCCAACGATAAACATTTCAAAAAGAAGCACAATAACACGTCTCACAAACATAAAATTGATCATTTACATTCAAAAAAATCCTATTTGGTTCGATTTGATTCATTTCCGATTCGAGCTAGGTGAGCTAGGTGAGCTTTCAAAGTTTTTTCTAACCATCAGATTTATTCCTTTAGCAATTTGCTACAATATGGCGACATGCTCCGGAAATGTCGATCAAGAGCAGTTGCAATGTCACTATGATTCCTTTTGAAACTTCCAAACAGAAGAAGCTCCTTCGTCTGTGCTAAAAGAGTCGATAGCTTCTTACTGTTTATTCCATTTTTGGCCCCTAGGGCCTTCCAAAAATTGCGCTAACACCCATATTTCAGGGCAGAAAGCGACGGGTAATTGGTATCAGTTTTCAACCAGCAATAAACGCACCTCGGCTAGGCCTCATTGGTCACGTTATCGCCTCTGCGCAAAGCTGATTTCAAAGAGGAAAGAGAAGGGTATAGGGGAAAGACGTGTGCCAGAAAGCGCGCCTTTCCGCGACTGCACAGAGAACGGCAGAGCTTTGTGAAAGAGCCAGAGAAGTAGGCCTAATTGACCTAAAATAAAGCTCTTTTTACCGTAACCTTTTTATCGCATAAGCCATTGATAAGCAATTCTTGGTAATATGAATTTCGCAACGGGTTTTCGAGAGAATCGAACAAATACAGGATTGGGATTGATGTAGAAACTTTTGGAAGAGATAGACGAGCTTAAAAATGTTCGTAAAACTCAAGGAAACGCTAGACCGATGCAAATTTTTGAAACATATCTAATCGATTTGGGAAATGAGAGGGATTTTGAGGAAGAATTCGAGAAATTCTTTTTTTAATCTAGTTCAGAAAATAAGTCTCTATCGTTTTTTGACAAGTGAAAGTTTCGCCGATATTTCTGGCGTACTTTACAAAAAAACGATTACCAATATAGCCCAAAGAACTGTAGTTATTTGCTTGATTCGAGTTCCAATTTCTAATCTTTTTAACCACACAATCAAATACCAACCGAGAAATAACGATGAGAATCCAAAACGTAGTTGATCTCCAGAAAAGCATCACTCGAATTTTTGCTTGACAAATCCATTTTTTATCGAGATGATTTGAAAAAGTAAAGTGAAAGTTCTTGCTTTCAATTTCAATTCCTCAAAAGAAGCTTAGCACCTATCCTACTTCAGCAAGATTTCAGCTATCGTTTTGATCAATGATGATGTTTTTGTGGGTCAACAAAAAACCATTATTCAGCTGGAAAATCCAATAGTATCGATAAGTTTTATTTAGTTTAAATTCGTACCCAATTAATAAAGACTAAAGAAAACAAAAAGAAGAAAGAGAAGGGAAACAGATGAGCCGAAAATTTGGCCCCCAGCGGTGGTGGTGGTCTGGCCGGTGGTGATCGTTGTGGAGATTGTGGATGTCGATTCTTCTGAGGTTGTCGTTTGAACTGGAACCATTGGTGTAGTCGTTGTAGTCGTGGTAGTAGTTGTTGTTGTAGTAGAAGTAGTAGTAGTAGTTGTTGTTGTTGTTGTTGTTGTAGTCGTTGTGGTTGTGCTAGGAGGTGGAGTATGGACCCGAACTCGGGCCGCCATTCCCGAGTTGGGTGTGGCTGCGTTGGGAGGCCAGTGGAACTGAAAAAGCTTGTTATTAAAACAAAACTTCTCTGAGATCATAGTTTTAGCCCAAGGTTCATGGAAGTTCTTTCCCTCTTTCCTGACAGCTCACCTTAATGGCGCCAACATCTTCAAAAATCGGATAGCTCTTGTAGGAAGTCTGAGCCGGGATCGTAAAACTAAAGAGACAAACAGTAGAAAGTTAAAGCTGTAAATAAAAAATACAAAAGCTAAAAACTCACTCTAGGATGGGATCAAGTTGTCGATCGAAGAGCGTCACCGAGACATCCTGGCCGATAACCCGTTGCACATCGAGTGCATAGCTCGAGAGGAAGCTCACTGAAAAGAGTTGTTAGTTTGTTGCTTTTATAGGACAAACATACGGCAGTATATCATTCGTGACAAGAAGTACCCATCAGGGAACACGTTGAACGGATCGAGATAGCCAGGTGTGGTGACAAGAGCTGTGCCCTCGCAAAGTCCTTGAGCCTCATCATACCAGCCTAAACTAGGTTTGTAGCGTTTTACGTTCATTCAAAATCAAATTCAAATTAAATACAATTCATTCACAAAGTGTATTCTCTATCTAAAAACTATACCAACTTTTAGCACAATAGTAGTGAAACTTTTAGAAGATAAATAATTAGAGAATTAAAAAGTGAATCAATAGTCGTTGGATTATTGGATAGACTGTTAATTTTTTGACAAAAAGTTCTCGTACCGCCTTTTCCTCGCTCGTCTTGACTTAGTCGAATAGTTGGGGAGCAGCCAGCTGGGATTCGGAGACTGTATTGAGCATTCTCGAGGAACTGCTCGACGTATGGCTCGGTCTCGCTAAAGAATGCTTTACAAAGTGCTTTTTTAATATTTTGAAACATCATTATAACTAAACTAGTGCTGTAATTGTAATAATCGTTAACGAACTTGATTGTGAATAAATGAAACTCGTCGGGGATGCTGTTCTTGATTCCGGGTGGGTTGAAGAGTCGGAGATCGTAGGCGCATTTCGGATCGTTTTTCGTCTAAACATTTTAGAATAATTTAAAAAATCATCAAAAAAAACTAGCCGATTTTACTGCAAGATAATTCAATTGTCCACGATCGAAACTCATCACAATCCATCCATCTCTGTTCGATTCACCAAGCGAGAACTCGAAGTTTTTAATGCTAGTTGTGAAGGGTATTGGCATAAAGAAGGTATTAGCTGAAAATTTAAAACTTGAAAAAAACATTTTTACCCTTACAAGGCATCCACTGATTCACATGGAACATAAAAGCAAAAGTAGATGAATCGATTGTTGATGTTTGATCCCATTCGAGTCCAACCTTGTCTCCTGTTTGATACCATGTGCAATATTGAAGGAATAGATCTCCGATTGGTCTAAATCTTTTGTTTTTGCAAATAATTTTACAAAGTTCTTACTTTTTTATACAATCGTGACCTGGATCCGGTTTTTCGTGGGCCAAAGCGTTGAGAAATGGCATCTGGTTTGGAATGAAACTGCATGGCATCGTGTCGTTTGACTAAAATAAATAAAAAAACAGATTTTTGCTTGACAGAGCACTTTAAAATGTAAATGTACAAAACAAAAACTACAAAAACTATAATAAGTCTTTCCAAACCTCCGCATTTGTGCAAAGAAAAGTGACATGAATCATGAACGAGCACCCATCACCGGAACATGTCGCCATATTGTAACAAATTGCTAAAGGAATAAATCTGATGGTTACAAAAAACTCTGAAAGCTCACCTAGCTCCGATTGACTCAACTCGGTGCCCGAGAATTGTTGAGCTGGGTTGGTTTCATCGAGATATGGCATCTCGTTCGGACAATTGTTTGGCATTGCTGTCGTTGGTGGCTCTTCGGTTTTTGGTGCTTCCGTTCCTCCTGTATTTGGTGCCTCGGTTTTTGGTGCTTCCGTTTTTGGGGCATCTGTCTTTGGGGCGTCTGTTTTTGGGGCTTCTGTTTTCGGCGCTTCCGTTCCTTCGGTATTTGGCGCCGCGGTTTTTGGTGCCTCTGTTTTTGGTGCTTCTGTTTTTGGTCCTTCCGTTCCTTCAGTCTTGGGCTCCTCAGTCTTTGGTGGATCCGTTTTTGGGGCGTCTGTTTTTGGTGCTTCGGTTTTGGGTGCTTCGGTTTTGGGTGCTTCGGTTTTGGATGCTTCCGTTCCTTCAGTCTTGGGTTCCTCAGTCTTTGGTGCCTCTGTTTTTGGTGCTTCTGTTTTTGGTCCTTCCGTTCCTTCAGTCTTGGGTTCCTCAGTCTTTGGTGCCTCTGTTTTTGGTGCTTCTGTTTTTGGTCCTTCCGTTCCTTCAGTCTTGGGCTCCTCAGTCTTTGGTGGATCCGTTTTTGGGGCGTCTGTTTTTGGTGCTTCGGTTTTGGGTGCTTCGGTTTTGGGTGCTTCGGTTTTGGATGCTTCCGTTCCTTCAGTCTTGGGTTCCTCAGTCTTTGGTGGCTCCGTTTCTGGGGCATCTGTCTTTGGTGCTTCTGTTTTTGGGGCTTCGGTTTTTTGATCGTTCGCTTTCGACACATAGACGAGCGCCGCCATTTCTGAGTAGTCGCTTATTTGGTTTCTCGGGCAAGAGAGCTAAAAAAGGTTTTTAGTTATTTCTGAAAAATTTTTTGACTGACTAAAAACCGCACCCACTTGAATTGAGCCAACGCTTGTAAAGGAGCATTTTTGGCCGTCGCCATGGATTGTGCAACTAAACTTTTAAGATGAAAACAAACGTCAACTTTTATTTTTGGTATGACCCACTTTTGATGATCTATCTGTTTTTGATTCAAATCAAATGCTTCCACAAAAATGCTCATCTCACTGACGCGCATTGCCTCGATAGTCATGTCGATGAGGAATTCATCTGAAATGTTTGCAAAAGTTTTGCAATTTGGCTGTAAACTTACTGCAAAAAAGGCTTCTATTTAGGTAGTAATTGACGGGATTTACAGTTTGTGGGTCTTCGTTTCCGTAGTTGTACGTTGTGACGAGAGCCGTTCCCGCGCAAACTCCTTGTGATTCATCGTACCATCCTAAATTTTATTTAAAATTCATTTATCAATAATATATTTGTAGAAATATTTCTTTTAATAACAACCTCTTATCCCTCGATTGTCTTGAGTGAGCCCAATCGTTGGGGAGCATCCAGCCGGAATTCGAAGACTGTATTTGGGATTTTCGAGAAACTGTACTGGATCATTCTCTCTGGAAAACTTTGCATTTGTTGTTATTCACTTGATCTCACAGTTACTCACTTGATCGTCATAAGTTTGTAGAGCTCTTTTCCACCATTGTTTCCCGGTGGACTAAACAGCCAAAGCTCATAGACACAAGCAGGATTATCATTCTAAATACAAAATTGAATGTGAAAGGAAAAAGAAACCAACAAGGTTCACGTCAAGATAACTCAAAAATCCTTGCTCAAAACTCATTGCCAGCCAAACATCTTGATCGAACTGGCCAAGCGATAGTTTAAAGTCATCAATCTGTGTTGTGAAGGGTAGTGGGAAAAAGATGGTGTTTGCTAAAGCAATTTCAAACTAAAATTGCGAAGCAAACGGAAGCACCAAAAACCGTAGAGCCATCAACGACAGCAATGCCAATAAAACTTACCTTCCATCCACTGGGTCACATGAAATCCGAAAGCAAACGTTGACGGATCAATCTTTGACATTTGATCCCATTCGAGTCCAATCTCACGACTTTCTGAGGACCAAATGCAATATTGAAGAAACAGATTTCCAAATGGTCTTAATTTTTGCAATTGTAAGTGTAATTTCTCACAATAGCTTTACCTTTTCATACAATCGTGCAGCGGGATCAATTTTTCTTTGTTTAAAGCGTTAAGAATTGGCAAATTGCTTTCGTCAAAATCACATGGCATCATGGTGTTGATCTAAAGCATTAAAATCCTCATTTCATAAGTAAACTAATTGACCGTGAAATTGTAAACAGCTAAATAAAGAGAATTTCTATCGTAAATCGATAAAATTAAAAGCCAACCCCATCGTTTGCACAAATGAAGGTGACATCAAGCGTGATCGAGCAATCATCACCAACACATTCCATCATTTTGTAACAAACAGCTAAATAATGAAAATAAATAATGAAATTTTTAAAAAACTAACCCGTTTTCGATTTGCTTAATGTTGTGCCCGAGAATTGCTGAGCTGGAGTAGTTGCATCAAGTAATGGAATGTTCGTCGGACAGTTATTCGGAGTTTTTGTGGTTTTTGGATGCTCCGTTGTCGACTCAGTTGATGACTCGGTATTTGGCGCCTCTGTTTTCTGATCATCTACTTTTAAGACATGAACGAGTGCCGCCAATCCCGTGGTTTCTCCAAGCTCTTCATTTGGACAAGTCAACTAAAATACACTAGACTAGGTCGATTTTGATGTAAAAGTCCCAAAAATCACCAAAAACTCACTTGAATCGATCCAACTCCCGAAAATGAGCACCCTTTCGTGTCTTGGTCAATAATGCAACTGAAATGATGAAAGTTTTTCAAAATTTCTTTATGACAAACGTTTGGTCGAGTATCGGATTGTGATCAAAATCGAAAGCGTTCACCGTTACTGCAATATTCCCAACATCACCATCTGTCAAAAGCTCGACAGTCATGTTGGTGATGGATTCCTCTGAAATTCTTTTTTTAATGATTTAAATTTATTAAATAAAAATTCTTTACAACCTACTACAAATAATCGTTCGATCCAGGTAATAATCATCTAGAAATGGATTCGAATCATCAAAATCATCAAAATTCCTGTAACCGGGCGTTGTGACAACGACCGTTCCAGAGCAGTCGTTTTGTGATTCTTTGTACCAGGCTAAACGCATTATTAATCCATAAACAACCATATTATTTACCATTTTCTCCTTGCTTGTCTTGGCCGAGTCGAATAAACGGCGAGCATCCAGCTGGAATTTGTAGACTGTATTGGGTGTTCTCAAGGAATTGTTGTGGATCGTTTTCTCTAAAAACCTTCAGCTCATAAAATCTAGCCAACAAACTTGATCGTAAAAAGTTGGTAGAGCTCGTTTCCGCCATTTGCTCCTGGTGGGCTGTAGAGCCAAAGGGCATAGCCACACTCGAGATTGTTGTCATTCTAAAAGCTGATCTTGATTCTAAAAGATATTGAATTTTCTGACCGTTTTCACTTCCAAATAATCCAGCAATCCTTTCTCAAAATTCATTGCAATCCAAGTCGATTGTTCGGATTTCTCAAGGGAGAACTCGAAGCTGTCGACCAGTGTCGTAAAAGGAATCGGGAGGAAGTCAGTGTTGGCTAAAATCTGCTGGTATCAGAACTTGTAGCAAGGTTTAGTGAACTTTTATTGAATTATTAGCCTTTTATTGCTTACAGTCTGAACTTTAAACCCACGTGTCATAAGCGAGTTTGCACGAAACAAGAAAGCCACTGTCGACATGTCGATTTTCGTCTCCGTGTCCCACAAAACTCCAAGCTTGCTGGACACCGATACCGAGTCCCACGAACAGCTTTTTAGTTTTCGTGTACCGATAGTTGCCCTAATAAAAAAAAGCATTTAAAACTGTTGTGCTAATGGCGAAAACCTTGTTTTGCAGGCGGTAAATGCCGGTTTTTCACCATTGGAAGCAATTTTAAATGGAAGAGCGTCGGCGGTGATCTCATTGCATGGCAACATGTTGTCTTTCTGTAAGAATTGTGGATATAAGCGGATAGGATTGGTTTTGATACGATATGATCCATTTTATCTAACTTATATCTACTGTATGGCAATTAAGCTGACCACGTCGTCCGAGCAAAGGTAGGCAAAATCGAGCGTGATCGGACACTCGTCGACATCACACTCCGAGATCTCGGTGCAGATAGCTGAGAGCGTGGATTTTATTGGTTTTGCTTTTGCTTCCTCCTGCAACCCTTGCATTCAGCTTAAGGCGCTTTCGTCTAATATTTACTTTTTAATACTATCTAAAATAGTAACTAAATTCTAAAGGTCTAAGTACTTACCGTAAATACTGTAATTGGACTCCGTGGGGTACTATTTTTTCCCTATAGGGTACTTTTTTTCCCTCCCCCTCTAGGGTGGGGTATTATTAGAGGCGTGGGGTCCAATTACAGTATTTACGAATAGTTACTTGAAATCACCTTGATTTTTGTCACTCTTCAACGCCGATCCCGAGTATTGTTGAGCGGGCGTGTTCGCGCTCAGCTCGAGTGGTTGCTTCCAGGGACAATTTTTACTGGCAACTCGATCCAAAGAGAAAACTAGTAAGATTGCTGGAATCCAAAACCCATTCTTGAACCTCATTCTTGAATAGTAAAATGGGGAATGAGAAACCATGAAGTTTACCTTTCGTTTTCACTATCTCATCGTTTTTCTCGCCGCTTCACAATGCGATTAGCGCCTCGAGAAAAGCCGCCTATGGATTTTGTGATAATGACCCTACCCCTACCCCTTCTGAAGGATTGATCCATTCGTTTTTCGAATCAAGCATTAAAAAATAAAAATTTCACGCCTGAAACACGTTTCTTCGGGTTGAAACTTAAGAAAGCGCCTTATTGTCATAATAAAACAGGAATTCGACGTCATTCACACAACACTCTTCAACCTGCTTACCCATTAACCAATTTAAATGAGCTTTAAGCTATCTGATTCGTATTTTTTTGACTAATTGGTTTTTGGAAAATTTTGTCCGAAAACGCCGCCATTTTATCCTCCCCAACCCAATACTTGAAAAAGTGAAATTTCTAGTGATTTCTAGTGATTTCTAGTGAATTTCCTAGTGGAAATAATAGTGAATTACATATGTCGTTGAAATAGTTGTGAATTTCGTGCTCTGTGATGGACACAATTCGAATGAACACAGGATTCTTGAGTATCAAAATTTTTTTTGAATAAAGTTCTTAAAAGTTTTGAAATAAAAAAACTTTTCCTAAGAAAGGCTAAGAAAAATGTGAAAAATCAATGAAGTGAAAACGGAATTGAAAATCGAGGCTTCAAAGTCGACAATTTGGTGAGCCGTCAAGGAAAACCCACATATCAATCAATAATGGTTGAATAAGCAGCCGACCGTGACGCTTTTACACAAGAAAGCCCGATTGGAGTTCGCCAAGGCTCATATGAACCAAGATTGATCTAAAGTTAGAAAACAACCGATATTCTCGTTTAGGGAACCTCTTCCGATGAGAAGAAATGAAATTTGGCTGGCTCCGATGGTGTTGACTATTGAAGGGATCTTCGACGTGATCCGATCGTGTTTAGAAACTTTGAGGCTGGTTCTGTGATCGTTTGGACCGCTGATACTGATGGAACGGTCGCTCTGAAGATGGTTTCAAATCGGATGAATCGTTTTGACTATATAGATGTCTTGAACGATTTGCTTGCTGCTGTTTTTGCTCCTAAATCCAATCGTTTTCTATGTGTTTCAACACGACAACGCGTCAATTCATCGAGCCGAGATTGGCTGAACAGCAACAACATTGCAATTTTGGACTGACCCGCCCGATCTCCTGCCCTCAATCCAATATAGAATTTAAGGAAAATACAAGAATCATCGTCAGTTTCAAGTTGCGGCACTTGAAGCAGCCCGTTTGGCCCATTCGTTTGGCCTGGAGCGATCTCGACGTCTCTGCTCTTCAAAACCTCATCAATTCAATGCCAAACCGCATTTTTCAAGTAATTAATTGTTTTGGTGCAGATTATTAGTTTTGATTTTCACTTTTTATCTTTAATTTTTGTCGATAAATAAAAATGTTTTCATTAATACGCTTAAGAATTTGAAACCGTTTATTTACCAAAAAGTTTCTATTTTGAAAGCTTTCCTTTTACAATATTCTAATTTTTAGTGCTTTTTTTTAGGTTTTAAGACACACTATTTTCAATAGAAAAGGAATAATCGTTGTAGCGTTGTTCAAAATGCAAAAATCTTTATTTTGGAGGGTGTACTTAAGAATTTGAAACGCCCTGTAGCAATAAAATGAAGTACGTGGTAGTTTAACACTGCATGACTTGAAGACTCTCGACGAAACCGATTGGAAGCTGAAATTTGAAGTGTTTTAATCAGAAACTGCTTTTCCAACCTGTTGCCATTCGGGAAGCAATCCAACTGTCATACTTGGATCGATTAAGTTGTCTGGTCGTAGCTGAGATTTTGAGATTTTAAGTATTTTAGCGAAAAACCAAACCTGCCCACAGCTGAAAGAAGAAAGGGCGTTGTTTTGGAGAGTGCCTGAAAGAAGTATCCATTAACAAAACCTAATAGAAACTCAAAAACTCTACTTGACAAAAAGTTTTGCCTAACCTGATAGAAGATAATCTTTCCCGGCCATGATTGGCAGACCGCAAGCCGCAGAATTTATGGGAGTGGTGACGAATTGGGGAAGGGTCATCATACCGCCGGGTGACTAAATACTGAGATTTAGACCAAAGACTAATAATTAACAGATTCGCGTACAACCGCGTAGTCGTTACTATTTTACTGATAATTTGGTGAGAATCTAAAGATAAACTAAACTATTATCATCATTCGAAAGCCCTAAATCTTCTCTTGAAAACTAGTACAAAGTTACAGAAAACTTTCTACTAAATGAATAAAAAAAGTCCTTAAAGGCACCAGATCAAAGTGGCCTTTTAATACGAGAGCCACGGGGAATTATAGAATCGGCTATGCTGATTCTTCATATGCTTCTACTTTTTCCAAAGAAGCTCTGTAACGCGAGATATCTGGCATCAAAGTTTAGGCTGTTTTTCGGAGTCCTTATAAGCTTTTTCTCTCCTAACTAAACTAAAACTCTGGAATCTTTCTGGAGACGAGCACACTATCCATTGCGTCATCAGCTCTCTGTTTTACAACAAAAGAAAAAGCTTATAAGGACTCCGAAAAACAGCCTAAACTTTGATGCCAGATATCTCGCGTTACAGAGCTCCTTTGGAAAAAGTAGAAGCATATGAAGAATCAGCATAGCCGATTCTATAATTCCCCGTGGCTCTCGTATTAAAAGGCCACTTTGATCTGGTGCCTTTCCCTAGTTAGAAACTTGAGTTGACATCAAAATCATCGTCATCAGTTGACATCAAAATCATGGTGGGTCGTATTGTCGTGAATGTGTTAAAGATTTATATTATAAACTTCATCGGAAGTATAGTAAAAAGGCAGTAGAACTCGTTTATACAAGATATTTTGGACATGAAGCTAGCTGAATCTGGATCTGTTACTTAAAGTTGCCTTTTACTAGTTCATTCTTTATTCATTACCCTGATACAACTCAAAAATGCTTACGAATATTTACGATATGGTATATTTCTGGTTTCAAAAAGATAAACCTTAAAAATCTGGATATGTTGCACGGTGAAGGCGGATTGAAGGGGATTCGTGGATGGCTGTTGTGCTAGTACTCTCACGTGGGATACTAGAAAACATGTTCTTTTTGTTATTTAGCTTTTTAAATGGCTTTCTACTTAACTGCTACTTAAATTGGAAACTCAAAAAGTTTACCCCAATCAGCTTGACAGAAAGTCTCTTGCATCGTCCCCGGAGCACAGCCACAACCAAATAAAATCGTGATGAAAGAAAGGAAAAAGATGAAACCGCTTGAGAATTGAAAGGAGCTCATTTCGGTATTGAAATAATTAAATATCAAACTGGTAAATTATCCCAGAAATCTCTTTATAACACTGATCAATTCGTTGAAAAGAAAATAAACATTGTTTTTGTTTTTGATCGAAATGTTCACCCAGTTTGAAAGATGTTTTGATAAAGTGAAGTGACGTAGTTTTCGCGTTTCGTGCGCCGAGAAATATCTAGATCTATCCTTAAGTTTTTTTTTCTTTCACTCTGCCAAAAACTGAAATGTTTCGAGTAAAAAGAGAGAATCACTTTGCCTACACTTTTTACTTTATTATTGAATTTATTAGCTACTCTTTTCCATCAAATTCACTAAATCTGGTTGATTTTGTCTTAAAATAAGTCAAAGTGATTGTAAAATGCGAGTTATTTTCCAAGTTTTGATTATGCTTGTTCAGTTGGTTGGGTTAGTGATTTAGATAGTGTAAAATTTGATTTATTTAGAGAATCTAAATTGTTATTTCTTAAATATTGGTATTTAAAATTGCCATTAAATAAGAAAAATTTGTTTTTTTGGCTCGTTTGATTATTGTTTTTGAAAATTCAAGCTGATAAATGCTGAGAAAGTGACTGTGATTGTAATCTGAAAAAGAATGAAAAATGGATCGACGGTTCAATAGTTCAATAGAAGTGTTCAATAGAAATGTTTTTTCTTTTTGAAAACTTTTATTCGTTCTGTTTAGCCATTCTAATAAGAACTGTGGTTTTTTGAAACCGTTAGAGACAAATGCGACAGTGAATATTGCAAATTGAAGATTGGTTCATTGGAAAGGATCTAATTTTCAATCAAAAATACAAAGCAATCAAAAGTTCTATTAATAAAGAAAACTGAAAATCGATTCTTAAACTCTTGTACATGGAGTAGTAGGAGCTATCGTTGGCATTGCCTGAAAAATATATGAGAACTGTTGATTAAAGATTGTAATCTTAAAGACACTACTTAAAGACATACTTTTAAAAGAATGGTTTTCAATTTTTAACTAAATTATAATTGAAATCACTCACTTTCTGCATGCAAATAAACGGCCAAATGGCTCTCGAAGTTGAGGTGTCCCATTTTCCCGTTGAAAGATTCATCAAAATGTTTCCTGCTGGTACAGCTGAAGTAGCTTTTGGTGAAATCCCTTTTAAAAGTTGAAAATACCTGGTCGAAAGTTTTGATAAACATCAGGAGATCCGTCATTCCAATAAACTCTTCCTGAGTCATATGTCCCGCCCAGCCAAACGTAGCCCACATTCTTAAAATCTCAAGTTGGCAAGTTGTTAAAAACTCTTACCATAGTGAACGCTTCGGCCATCATTTGAATGAGATCGTTGTCAAACGCGTTGCTGATTGAGCCTGTATGACCTTGGAAACTGGAAATTTTATTAGAGTTTTTGATTGTTTCTCTTAACTTACTAATTTTCACAAAATTTCTCCGCATTGTCAAACGTTTCATTGTAAGGAACGACGAAGAAACAACTTCCATCAGAACCGGTCACCGCATTGCTTGGACACGTTGCCCAGATGCCAGCTGAACTTTAAGTTTACAAATTTTTAACTACCATTCACCGATCAACGAAACCAAGTAAATTAGCGAATATTTCATGCTTTTTGAAGAAATGAATTGCTTGAAATGAGATAAGAAAGAATTTCTTGAAGAAAATAATCTCTGCTTTCGATTCAATCAAAAAAAGCACACCAAAGAGACAAGGAATTTCGCTGATTTCTCGACTTGTCATCAATGATCAAAAACCAAATTCACCAAAATGTGTTCTTTTTGATCAATGACGCAATTCTGAAAATGTTTATTAATCCCAATAAGGTCCATACTTAGCACAATTGACCCAATTCGATCTTGTCTTGTCCAATCTTGTCGCAATCACAATCCGTTGTGCAGCTTTTCTAAATGATGAGAAGCATGTTTTAAAGTAAAGTTTGGGTGATAACTTGAATAAATGAATAATGAAAATGCACAATTGGCATGAATAGCAAATGAGATTGGGCACAGTCATAAGGAGATTCGGTCAGTGCATCGAATCAAAGAAATTCTAATAAAACATGGTTGGTTTTCAAACGAGTTTTATGTAAATGAATTCAGAAAAGAATGCATATTGTATTCTCTGATGTTTGATGAAGATTTTGAGACAACCAATCTTCTTTATACTTTTAGATTCATGTTTACCTTGATCAACAACGGATCAACAAAACGATTCTCACTAAAACCAAATCATCAGTAGTCAGGGGTAATCTTTTTTGTACACATTTAAATGCCAATGTCTTTTTAGTATATAAAAAAGTAGGTTTTAAAGTAAAGTTGGGGTAATAACTTGAATAAATGAATAATAAAAATGCACAATTGGCATGAATAGCAAATGAGATTGGGCACAGTCATAAGGAGATTCGGTCGGTGCATCGAATCAAAGAAATTCTAATAAAACATGGTTGGTTTTCAAACGAGTTTTATGTGAATGAATTCAGAAAAGAATGCATATTGTATTCTCTGATGTTTGATGAAGATTTTGAGACAACTATACTTTTTTTATACTTTTAGATTCATGTTTATATTGATTAACAACCGACAACCAAACGATTTTCACTAAAACTAAATCATCGGTAGTCAGGGTTAATCATTTTGTACATTTTTGTACACATTTAAACATCAATATCTTTTTAGTATATAAAACCCTAAGCATTCTATTGATTTGTAAGGATTTAGAGAAAATTCCATTCGAGTTATTTCAAGAATAAATTCTGGGGTAAATTTAGAAAAGAGCAGCTAAAAATTAGCTAAAAATTGTCAAGCAAAGATTGAAATGAGTCACAATGTTTGTTAAAGACTTTTGAGACAAGCTATAGCTGTTAGAATGTTTTCAAAAGGATATATAAAATTGAGAAATCTTATATTTTCTGTAAAGAACGTTTTTTAATACTTGAAATCAACTTTTATTAACTGTTAAAATCCAAAGTGAGAAGATGAAACGAGCCAAAAAGTGTCAACGAAAAGAAAGTCGGCGAAATTTTAGTCATTGTTTCCAATGTGCTAGAAACATCGATTCTAGTGGTTTTGAAAGTCGTTTTATCCAAATTCTTTCGACATTTCTTTACATCAGAGAAAAGATACTGAGATTTTCGCTGAACTCGAGCTGCCTCATTTGCCATTGATGCTGTGGCATTAAGTCGAATCGATGCTTTGTACAGCGGCCACTCATCGGGCAGATAACAAAACTGAAAGCTTGATTTGTCCGACTTTTAATTCCACGTCTTTCAAGATTTCAAAGTATCAATCGCCAGCATTTCTTCTAAAATTTCTAAAACAAATCAACTTTTGTAAACGACCGTAATCTTGACTTCAGTTTTTCTCCAATCCTTTTTTGATCAGACTTTTAGGGTTCAAGAGGATACTAAAGGATACAAAAAGTATAATTTTGCTAGAAACTATGGAAAGCTAAAACTAGTGATCCCACAGTGATTGCCTTTGCCGGAGGACCGGCTATGAGTTGTGGAGGAAAATCAAGCGGGTTTTTCGGTGATGGAAGAAATTCTTGCCTATAATTCTTACATTATCGAAAACAAAGAGTTAAAAACCTAAAAATTGTCTCATCTTTCTCATTCAAAAACTCGGCAACAATTGTGCCATCAAGCAAGGTAACTTCTCCAGTAAAGGTCGTCAGTTGATCTTCTAGAAATTCGCTTAGAAAAGCGATTTGATTTGTTTACCACAAAACACATGTCTCCACATAAAATAATCTTGAGTTATTTGGTGGGAAGGGTTCATGTATCCGGTTGTAGTGAGAGTTAGTTGACCCTCGCACAGAGATTGAGTCACGTTTTTCCAATCTGAACTAGCCTAGATAAGTTTAGACTAGTTTTTAAAGTTTAACCTTTAAACTTTAAAACTTAAACTGGTTCTCCAGTTTAAAACTAGAGTGTTTTCCTCTCGAGTAATTGCTCAAATTTGCATATGCAACTTTTACTTGATTAATTAACGTTTATGTTCAAATAACTCGAGTAATCCTCTTTAGACGTCGAGGAAATTGAATAATTGAATTGAAATTGAACGAGTAATTGAAGATCTTTACACTTGATTTCCTAAGAAAACTGTTCAACAGCTGACTATCTTTAAAAAGAGTCGTATATAAGACGGCGCTTGTGATTTTTGCAAGAATTTTTGTAAAAATGCGGTAATTCTTTTCCAAGTATGCGTTTTAAACAACTGAATATCTTTAAAAAGCCTTTTAAACAGCTGAATATCGTTTTAAAAAACGCATTACTCTCAAGGAACACAGCAAATGCAAATGCAAATTTGACTTGCAAATTTGAAACGAAAACTGACAGACAATAAAAAGCAAGGTAATGTTTATAAGAAAAAGCTGTTTCAGGTGATTAAATAGCTAGATTAAGGTCGAAATTTGCAAGCTTTTAACAAAGTCTTTTAACATTAATCCTATAAAACATGTACCTAAACCTTTTGAGATTGTAGAGCTCAAGGAAAGTTGCTGCTTTTCAGTGTTCTAGCACAGAATTGATGCTCTTTTTACCGTCGTCTCCAATTGCGATCTTCTCGATCAGAACTGATGGAGCACAGTCGTTATTTGGGAGAACGAAGGTGTAGATGTTATTCTCGAGAATCTGCTCAATAAAGGGTTCAGTCTCGCTGAATTTGAACTTTAAAGAGAAGAATTAGAGATTTACAACTTGATTATCAGCAACTGGTTTAGAGGAGAGAAAACTGAAATTTGTTAGATTATTGAATTAAGAAAGCTGTAAGTTCATTGAATTAAATATCAAAATCTAACCATTTCCTGAAAGCATTTGATATTCGCATTGTGATTGTGGGTTTTCCTAAACTCATTCTACAACCATTAGCGCTAAAAGGTACCTGTGAAAACTTCTTCAAAACATATAAATCACTCTCCAGTGTGAGTGTAACCAATCGTTGGTGGCCAGAAAATGAATCGATCACGAACTCGTATGGTGGCTCGGGAGTGTTAACAAAGTGAATGTCATCTAAAAGGAGAGAATCTTTACAACTTCTAGAAGCTTCACATGGTGCTTCAGAGCTGACAATCATCAGTGAGCTATTCACGGCGAACTCTCGGCCAATCGGATCATTGATATCCCATAAAATCGTGAAACTGTACTCTTCCACAAGCTTGTAACAAGACCAAAGCTTTGTTCTAAGGTTTATTTTTCATTTTAGCTTTGTAAGTGATGATTTGTTTAAGCCAAATCTGAGATTTAGCTGAAAGCAACTCGGACCAAGTCGAAGAAATTGAAAACTCACTGCCAAGAAAAACAGTTTTGCCAATCATCCTGTTCGTCGTTGATTATCAGTAAAGGATATTGACCACAGTCCTAAAAAAACGAAATTCAATGAGTTCAATGAATTCAATGATTTCCTCGTAATTACCTCTTTATCGCAAAAAGAACTGAGATAAAAAAAGTTGACCCCGTCGGCAGTTGCCGTCACACAATACGGAATTCCTTGGGCTAAAATTATCAAAAATCCGATATTCACCCAAAACACATACCTGCTGAATCGTACAATTTATATCCAGGGATAGTTATACTGTCGGTGAATTGAAAAAACTGCGTACAAAGTGGACTCATCATTGCTTTTAATGTTAAAACGAATTGGTGGAAAAGCAAGATGTTTTTTGGGAACTTCATTTCAAAGTGTAAAGAAAAAAAGGGAAAATCTGAAGAATAGTATTTGGTTTTTGAAACGTGACTTCTAAAAACTCGTGATTATTCTTAAGCCTTAGTTGTTTTATACAGAAAGATAAGAACGACGTTAATAATCCTTTGATTCTTTGACTTTTCCACGAAAATCTACGTGCTGAGAATAGTGAAGCTTTTGAAATGAAGCTTTCAAGATTTCAGTTTTACAATTGACGCTTTATAAACAGAAATTTACCCTTACAATGGACAATGAAATATCATATTTGAAAAAACACTTTCGCACTTTCGCGCGTCTGTAACTCCCTTGTCTTTACCGTATTTGTAAATATTAATATTACCATTGTGTAGCCCTTGAAAAGAGCTTTCAGAAAATGTATAACACTAATAGTTTAAACTCAAAGACAAGGGAGTTACAGACGCGCGAAAGTGACGATCGTTTTTCAAATATCATATTTCATTGTCCAGTACTGTATCTGTATATCTTGTATTTCTATTTTTTTTTGCCTGAGAACTTTAATTTATTGTTTCAATGTGTACAATAACCATTTGAATATTAAATTGACAATTATTTCTAGAAAATTGCTGACAATTTTCAATTTCTGACAATGGACATAAGCGGAAAGGATTGGTTTTTTTTTCGATATGATCCATTTTATCTAGCTTATATCTACTATATGGCAATTAAGCTGACCCGGCGGTAGGCAAAGCCGAGCGTGATCGGACACTGGTCGGCATCACACTCCGAAACCTTGGTGCAGATAGCTGAGAGCGTAAATTTTATTGGTTTTGCTTTTGCTTGCTCAGCCTTCAGCCTTGCATTCAGCTTGGGGCGCTTTCGTGTAATATTTACACACTTCAAATGTCCAAATACACACTTCAAAAAGCATACTGAAGATAGTAAAGCTTTATTTCAAGATTGCAATTTTACAATTGACGCTTTATAAACAGAAATTTACCCTTACTATTAGCATGTGAATACTATTTTAATTTACTATGAATAGTAAAGTAAAATAGTATAGTAAAACTCGTGATTATCTTAAGAATATCTTTAGATTATCTTTAGATTTCTTTAGATTTCTTTAGATTTCTTTAGATTATCTTTAGATTATCTTTAGATTTCTTTAGATTATCTTTAGATTACTATGAATCGACTATTCGAGTTCGCCTAACTATTTGCTTGTATATCATTTCTATTTTTCTGCCTGAGAACTTTAATTTATTGATTCAATGTGTACGATAACCATTTGAAAATTAAATTGACACTCATTTCTAGAAAACTGAGTAAAATAGTATAGTAAAACTCGTGATTATCTTAAGAATATCTTTAGATTATCTTTAGATTTCTTTAGATTTCTTTAGATTATCTTTAGATTATCTTTAGATTTCTTTAGATTATCTTTAGATTACTATGAATCGACTATTCGAGTTCGCCTAACTATTTGCTTGTATATCATTTCTATTTTTCTGCCTGAGAACTTTAATTTATTGATTCAATGTGTACGATAACCATTGAAAATTAAATTGCCCTCATTTCGGGAAAACTGGAAAATAGTATAGTAAAACTCGTGATTATCTTAAGAATATCTTAAGAATATCTTAAGAATATCTTTAAATTATCTTTAGATTATCTTAAGATTATCTTTAGATTATCTAAAGATAATCACGAGTTTTACTATACTATTTTACTTTACTATTTATAGACTAGAAAAAGAAATCGAGATGATCTCAACATCCACTTGCACGAGAAAGCGATCCGATTAGAAGAATTTCAATTTCTTCATGCAAATACACACTTCAAAAAGCACAAAAATAAAAACAAAAACGTATGGTTGAGGCAAAGAAACTTTAGTGACAGGCGTTATCGTAACCTCTTGAAAAATTTGAGATCTTTGCACTTTTAGACTCATAAAAAGAACGATTTTATAGCCAGCATCAAAAGCGACATATTTTTCCCAATCCACCTGCAATTTTCTTCATAGACTTGTCTAACTTTAGAATTCTCACTGAAACGCCTCTCACATCCGAGATGGAAAACTTTCTGGGAAGCGGAGTCACACCATCGAAATGAAAATGTTGGTCCTCACCACTGAAAAATGACTGGATGACTTAGTTTGTTTTTATGACAGTAGGAGAGACTCTAGAAGGCTTTTAACCAGATTCAGAAGTCAGTTAGTCAAAAGATAAGCCAGGTGTACTCTAAGGTTGACATAAACTTATGTAATTACTTGGAAATTAAAATCAATAGCTATCTATAAATTCTCGAGTGCCGTTTAGGTTAAAGGAATCGAATCTACAACAACCTATCGGTGAAAAACTGCAATTTCAAATTGGCAGGCCCAATCGAGATGATCTCAACGTCCACTTGCACGAGAAACCGATCTGAATAGAAGAATTGTCATGCCTCAGAATAGGGACTCGTAAGAGAAGCAAAATAACCAAAGATAACCCCACAACATGTGATATTTCGTGTCATCGTGCCTGATGATGCGTCAAAGTTATTACGGGGACATTCCCAAGCATTTTGATATCCTTGAGAAGTTATCAAAGTTTCCCCAGAGCACAGTTCTTGTTGTCTTGTTTGACCGATCACTAAAATGATTAAATACTTGAAAAAAAGTACTTATAAGATTCTAGATAAAGAAATTCAATGATCAAATTCGTTATTAAACGCTATTTCTTTGCCTTCTACCCCTTTTGAGAGCAAGAATTGGATTGATTACCGTAAATACTGTAATAGTACCCCACCCCCCGCTCTCGTACAGTCGCGTAGTCGCATAAGTTTTTTAGTATTTCATTTTTTTTTAAAGCGCCTGTACTTTCAAAAAATGCGTTTTGGTATCAAAAAATAGCTGAAATTCAGGGCTATTTTTGTGATACCTAAGCGCAAAATAGTAGCATAAACCAGTGTCGAGAAAAAATCGTCCAAAACTAGACTACGCAACACTCCGCACCGTCATTATGGGGATGGGGTACTATTACAGTATTTACGGTAGGTTGATCTGTCAAATGATAAACCCCGATCCGAAGAGTTGAACCCCTCTCTAATTAAATTTACTGTATTTGATAAACTTAAATTTTGTGTAGTAATGCATTTCGACTTTTGGAGAGCAACCAGCTGGAACGTGAAAACTGTAAAGGGTCGAGGTAAGGAATTGAGGGACAAATCGATCCTCGTCTCTAAATTTACAATATTGTTTTATTGAATAGATGCATCTACAAAATTAAGCAGAAAATAAACAATGCAATGCATTTAAACCTGAAAGTGCCGAGCAATCTCTTCGGATATTTCTTGGTCAACGTTGGCGCTCCACTCACAAATTCATATTCACAACCGGCACCCCGTCGACCCTTGAAAGTAAAGTAAAGTAAAGTCCTAGAACAAGTATTGCTTATATTGCTTACATTTCGAAAACTCTCCAACACGTGGCTGTCTCTTGTATTCACCGTTCCTGCAATGGAAATCCATGAATTTCGATTTTGTGCCGGAAAGATGAAACCCAAACGGCTGTCATCTATATTTCGTCCATAGCCGGGAACAAGCATAAAGGTGGCTTTTGACATAGCATCGTCAATTCCTAAATGCAAAGTAAACATTGTACTCACTGAAATAATTACCCCTTTTAAACTGAAATCCAGCTTTTTGAAATGATTTTTGAAATGATTACACTAATTTCTAATACAAAAAAAAGCTTTTTGACTATTCGATTTTCAGAAGAACACCTGCATCGATTGCTCGAAAAGAAATCGCTTTATTATCCCCGGGAATGACTTCATTCAAATGCAAATAGATAAGCGTTGAATTGACAAGCAACTCCTGAGTCAGAATCGCGTTTTCACCAAGCAATTCTCTGAATTAAAAAGATATCAAATAACAAGAGATAATCACAATTTCGTGTAGTTGTTCCACTCCCATTCGCGGCCATTAATCATGAACTGTGAAGCGGATGCACAAATCTCCTAAACAGTCATGCACCAAGAGCAAAAGTTTTCAGTTACCACTTGGGTTTTGTTGCAAATTATGGCAACTGTGATGAGGATTGAGCAACTGTTGGAGATATTACAAGTCACACAGATAAATTCGCCAACACCTGAAAGGGAATATTCTGCTTTAGGATTATGAATCTTCAAAAATCTATTCTGCTTTAGGATTATGAATCTTTAAAATACGGACTGTAAGTAATTGCATCGATGTTTACTGCTTGAAAAACTCCGTGCGGTTCATCGACTGTCAATTCGTAGGGACTGCAAATGTGACAACATTTTTAAAGAGTACAAATGGTTTAAAGTTATCCCGAAGTTATCCAGAACCTTCTGGATTCAGAGACTTTTATGGACCTGCAGTAAAGCCTGGTTTGAGCTGGTTTGAGCTCGAAAAATGCCGTTTAGCACAAGTCTGTATCAAACCTAGAACACTACCCTTTATCAACTCTAGAATCTTTATCAACTCTAGAATCCACCTCTTATCCTCGCATTTCATATCCTCGGCCTGCAACGGTAACACTTTCAAGAGAACCATAAAACCAAAGCGGCTACCATTTGTCTCTTTGGTTGTTAGATCGAACTGAAATCTTTCAAGTTGTCCAATCAGATCTCAAATCTTTTCTAAAAACCCAAAACTTTGCAATTACATTCTTTTACCTTTATACAATCAGCCAGAACAGAAATCTCGTTGCTTGGCATCTCGGTGAATCTAATTTCAGTAACTTTTGCAAACAACTTGAGCTCACTTTTCGTCATAGACCGGTATTTTATCTTTGGGGAGAGGCGAATTGCAGTAGTATATCGGGGATCTGAGTTGATCAGTCAAATGATAAACCCGGATCCGAAGAGTTGAACCCTTCTCCATTTGAAGGAACTCGATAGAAACTCTTCTTGCTTGTGACTGAATTCGAAAAGTTTACACTTTGGCTAAGAATGTTTACAAGACCCGGCGTATGCCGATTGTAGTAATTCACGTCGATTTGTGGTTGTTTAGGAAGAATATTTGGATCATCGAAATGCCATGGATAGAAAAATGAACTGACGAGTGGCCAATCGAGTCCCGATTGTGATGAATATGAAAGTAAACATTTTACAATTATTTTAGTCTACTCTTGACTCTCTTTGGTATTTAATATTGCATAATAAGTTTCCCCAAACATTCAGATACTGTTAAAAATACTTAAAGCTTTTGAAAAAGGGAAAAAATGTTTACCAAGGAGGGTATTCGAATCAACGGCAAAAAGTGGGAGAGGTTTGGTGAGTGCCCTTTGGTTTGGTTTGGTTTGGTTTGGCATAGGCTTGGCGAGTGCCCTTTGGTTTGGTTTGGTTTGGTTTGGTTTGGTTTGGCATAGTTTTGGTTGGTTTGGTTTGGTTTGGCATAGGCTTGGTGAGTGCTCTCACTATCCACTAGACTACTGGGGTGCTGGCAAGGGGAAGGGTGGAAGGCCAACCTCGCTCACCCGTTTCCCGAGTAGATGCCCAAATTCGCAGCGCGTTTTTCTCGAAAACTAAGACTTCTCCGGAAGCGCCATCGTGATCACCGTATTCGACTTGCTTGTGTTTGTCCCTCATTTTGATGCCGAAATGTCACGGTCACTTCTGATCGCTCCCTTGACATTTCCAAGTCAATGAGTCGATGGGAATGCAAATGGTTGATGCCCGAGAACCCGAGAACTGCTTGAACCGATAGCCTAACGCTTACCGTTCAAACCCTCTACCAATGAGCTACACGCGACATGTTTTTCAATGTCGCCAAGATCTTATGTCTTACTGAACCTAAATTATTTACCCGATGACTTAGTTCTTACTATAGTTGCTGTTAGCCGCTGTGTTAAACAGTAGACAGAATGAGCAACTCGTTTCGGTCCAAATTGTGCCCACTGAAGTACGAAAAGACAGCACATCTTCATATAACAATCTAAAAAAAAATCACAGAATAAGAATGATCGTTAGACTCGTAAACAATTGAATTTGTTAATCCTTGTAAGCTGTTAATTCACTTGTAAGCTGTTAATTTGTTAATTCACTTAATTTCTCTTACTTGAAAGGCCATTTGTTATTGATTTTCGATGAAGAAAGTCCAGGATCTGAGCCATACGAGAAAAGGTATTCATTGTTAGCAAGACAAGATAAATCAACCTATATAATTGATGAATAACGGATCATTTATAAGAACTTTTCAATTACTTCGTAATTTTCACATTGATTATCACCTTGATTCCCAATTTTCACTCCAACAAGTGGACCTGTAGAGTAAAATCTGAAAGAGACTTTGAAACGAAAAAGAAATGATCGACAGACTCGTAAACAATCGGATTCGCAACAATGATTGCAATTCGATCTTTATCAACCACAATATTGTCATAGCTGTCTTTGTTATCCTGTTAACGGAATTCTTTTTTTGAGCTCTAGATGAAAGCTAATCAATTAGCTAACAAACCTTGTAATTTTGAAATCCAGTTACCAAGACAATTGCCTTTTTTGACTCTAAAATTGACCTAATTGAACTAATTGACCTAATTGAACTAATTGACCTAATTGACCTAATTGACCTAATTAGGTCATATTTGAATAAACTCTAATTCTTGATCTGATTTCCTTTACAGTATTATTTGAATCAAAATCGAACCGTTAACCCATTGCCGAACACGAAACGAGATGGCATACTCGGTGGAGTTTTGTTGCAAATCAAAAACCACAAGACTTTGCTGATTGTTGACCGTCCACGAACAGCTATACAATGCTTTGTCCAATCCACTCAAATAGGGCCTAATTTTGGGTTTTTTGACTTTAATTTAGCGCTTTTTCTACCTCAACTCTTTACATCCATCTTTGCTCAAAACGTTTCCGTTCACGCTAAATGGAAGAGCATCAGCACAAAGCAAGATTGAAGTTTTCTGGAAAATTGGTATTTTGGGAAGGATGATTGAATGTTTCTCTTGATTTTAACGTTTCTTAGAAAAGAGTTAGCCATAAACCAGCTTGAAACAAAATTGAAATTATGTGCTTCAGCAAAAAAAGTAATAAAACTACTGTAGCTTTTTATGAAACTAGTATGAAATAGTATATTATATGAACTAGTATAGTAACTAGTATAGTATATGAAACTAGTTCTTTTAACGAACAAATTGCTAACTTTTGTTTCGTCAGGAATCACCGGTGCTTGCGAGCAGTCTCGCTTTGAGAAATCGATCAGAAAATCAACGTTTTCACTCGTGATTACGTGGATTGCCTAGAAATCTTTGTACTTTGTAAACTTTTTATTATAAATAAGCTGATGTCATCATTACAATGTGCTAGGTATTCATTTTCATTGCTCATTTCATGCAATTCGCGCATTTTTTCATAGAAACAATCTGATTTTCTTGAAATATTGTGTCAATAAACTAATAAACTATTCGGAAATTCCAAATTTCATCGATTTACTAAGAGTTTTTACTTGAAATCGCCGTAAATTGACTCCATGAATAGCAAAGGATGGATTTTCTTTGTTCAACTCAAAAGTCTTTGAAGTGACAAATGAAAAAATGAAAAGAAAGAGAATTCCTTCAAAAAACATATAGAAAAACTAGGAATTTAGTTTTTTTGGTTTTGTTTGTTGGTGCTCTAGAAGGGAAAAAAGCTCGACGCTTCTCATGACTGCTTATCATTCATGTAATTCGCTCCAATCCTTGACTTAACTAAGCGAAACTCGAGTTGAGGTATACGTGCCGAGAGAAATGATAAAATGTTGGCACAAGTGCAAAAGCTTTACTGATCATTTGTTCAATACGAGGGGATATGCAAAATGCAAAATTGTAGTTTGATTAGCAATTTTTTGCTAGATTTTAACATCTAGACATGATTTAGCTTAAAAGAGTAAAGATTTGCTTTGTGCTTACCGTAACTACTGTAATATTACCCCACCCCCCTCGTACAGTCGCGTAGTCCGTAAATACTGTAATAGTACCCCCACCGCCCCCTCGTACAGTCGCGTAGTCGCAAATGTTTTTGAGTATTTCATTTTTTCAAAGCGCCCTTACTTTCAAAAAATGTGTCTTTGGTATGAAAAAATAGCCCTGAATTTCAGCTATTTTTTGATGCCTAAACGCGCATTGTAGCATAAACCAGTGTCGAGAAAAACTCGTTCAAACCTAGACTACGCAACGCTCCGCACCGTCATTATGGGGGTGGGGTACTATTACAGTATTTACGGTAGGTAATTAGAGTTTTTAAAGGACAAAAAGAGGAACCGCAATTAGTCCAACCGAGAAGTCCAACTAAAAACAAAAACAGAAAAACAGAAATAACAGAAATAAATTGTGTTACTTGAAGGATTATTGGGGGACTTTCAAAGAAAAACATTTCAAACTAAGGATTTTTAGTATTCCATTTCTCAAAGCGTCCGTACTTTCAAAAAATAGCCCTGAATTTCAGCTATTTTTTGATACCTAAGCGCGCATTGTAGCATAAACCAGTGTCGAGAAAAACTCGTTCAAAGTTAGACTACGCAACGCTCCGCACCGTCATTATGGGGATGGGGGTACTATTACAGTATTTATGGTAGAAATCAGGTACAACGATTGGCTGAGACTTTTCGTTTTTTTCGAGCGGTGGAATAAGATCAATAAAATTCTCCTTCACGTTCACTCGGTTTCAGTGCCGACAATGAGAATCATCGATTATTATATTACTTTGGTATGAAAAAATAGCCCTGAATTTCAGCTATTTTTTCGATAACTATTGTAGCACTATAGCATATCGTAATACCTTTAATAGTAGCCCCTCCCCCCGAAAATGCCGGTCGGAGCATCGCGTAGTCTAACTTTAAATGCATTTTTCTCGCCACCCGTTTATGCTACAGTGTTCGTTTAAGTATTAAATGAAAGCTGAAATTCAGAGCTATTTTTTGATGCCTAAACGCGCATTGTAGCATAAACCAGTGTCGAGAAAAAATCGTCCAAAACTAGACTACGCAACACTCCGCACCGTCATTATGGGCACTATTACAATATTTACGGGATGTGCTTATTTAAAGAGATATTCATATTTGAAGAATTTATCAGTGAACGCAAATAAATCATGAAATTCACTGCAAGCTTCTAGAAAGCTTATCGATAATCCCCGCAATCACCCCTGGCTTCGGTGATCGTTGAAGACTGTGCAGAAAAGGGTCATCCTCCATCTCTGCCTCCATCTCTGCCTCCATCTCTGCCTCCATCTCTGCCTCCATCTCTGCCTCCATCTCTGCCTCCATCTCTGCCTCCATCTCTGCCTCCATCTCTGCCTCCATCTCTGCCTCCATCTCTGCATCCATCTCTGCCTCCATCTCTGCCTCCATCTCTGCCCCCATCTCTGCCTCCATCTCTGCCTCCATCTCTGCCTCCATCTCTGCCTCCATCTCTGCCTCCATCTCTGCCTCCATCTCTGCCTCCATCTCTGCCTCCATCTCTGCCTCCATCTCTGCCTCCATCTCTGCCTCCATCTCTGCCTCCATCTCTGCCTCCATCTCTGCCTCCATCTCTGCCTCCATCTCTGCCTCCATCTCTGCCTCCATCTCTGCCTCCATCTCTGCCTCCATCTCTGCCTCCATCTCTGCCTCCATCTCTGCATGAAACTCATTTTATCCTAAATTTGGAAGATAATTTGCTTTATTTATTGGACTTTGCCTAGAATACAATTCTTTTAAACAGACTCTAGTAGTTTTCAATATCAAGACAAAAAGCAAAGAAAACTAATCTGATTCCATCATCAGCTAGTCCAAAGATGACCCTTTTCTGCACAGTCTTAATGAATCTGCTGAAATATAGCTCATTTTTGCATTAAAAGGGCTTTAATTATAGCTTTAATTGAAATTAAAAGCAAATCAAGATCAAATCATTTATCTGATTTAATTTGTGTGCAAAGTTATTGAATGATTTAACGTAATTGATATTCAAGGAATTAGTGGAAAAGTGATATTGATGAGTTTTTTGTGAGTTGGTACTCACATAAGATTTGTGTGAGTTGATACTCACTTTTCCACAAAGTTGTCCCATTTGTTTTTTTATTTATAGAAAGTCTATGAGGCTTGGGATCATTGTTGTATCGAAGAAGTTACTTCGTCGGTGCCAAAAAAAATAGCTAAAGTGATAATTTAACAACAATTTATTATGTCAGTTGATCAGTGAATAAACTTGTTCAATTTTGGAATATTTGGATCTTTTCGCCATTATTCAAAATCAACTTTGCCTTTCAATTTCAAGAAAAAAGAAGTCAAAACGAATGTTTTTTTTCTCTTCATTGTCTAAGCAGCTGCAATGTCACTATGATTTCTTTTGAAACTTCCAAACAAAAGCGAATCCCTTCTCTCAGTAATCGAATGTCTGAAGAAAGCTTTAAATCCAAAAAGTTTTCCTAGTCGATTGCTAGTAAATAAAGCACGATCTGTTACAATATCTGTATCTGTTACAATGAGAAACTCGATTTTTGAATAAAGAATTTATTTAAAGAAAGTCTTTTCTATGAGCCTTGTTGTATCGAACAAGTTACTTCGTCGGCGCTAAACTTTTTGTTTATTGAATTTTTGGCCCCTAGGGCCTTCCAAAAATTGCGCTAACACCCATATTTCAGGGCAGAAAGCGACGGGTAATTGGTATCAGTTTTCAACCAGCAATAAACGCACCTCGGCTAGGCCTCATTGGTCACGTTATCGCCTCTGCGCAAAGCTGACTTTGAGAAGAAAATGGAAAGATATAGGGAAAGGGCGTGTGCCAGAAAGCGAGCGATTACGAGCGTTGCACCGAGAACGGCAGAGGCTTTGTGAAAGAGCCAGATAAGTAGGCGTAATTGGCCTAAAATAAGGCTCCGTTTACCATAATCTCCCGCCACTTTTCAAAGTTTCAGGGTGAACTTGTTTACTTATAGAGTTCTTTGAATTTTTGGTCTTTTTTACTTGTAGTTCTTTGAATTTTTGGAATTGTTTACTTCTAGAGTTTTTTGAATTTTTGAAACTTTAACCTAGTCATTTTATTTAATGTTTGCACAAAGATACAAACAAAAATAGGAGAATAACTTAAAAATTTGATTTTTTTTGGTTTTATTTCCTCTTTCCATAACTCCAAACTTCAGACGACGTTGCGTAACGAGAAGAATATGAAGAATGAGTCCGCGAGATTGATGGAGAATTGGAATACGATGGATAAGAGTATCTGGGATAGGAGTACGACGGATATGAGTAGCTTGGATAAGAGTATCCACCGTATCCTCCATAAGACGGCCATCCACCACCGTAGCCCCCATAGCTATTGTAGTTTGGATAGCTGTAGCCACTAAAATGAGTCTGATGCTCAACCGATAATGAATATTTAGTGTTTTTTTTTCTTCTTTTAAATGAGCTAATTGACGCCTAACATTGGAATCTGCCAAGATATTCACCCAATAAACATTCTCTTGAGCACCACTTTTCATTTGGAGCACAGTCAAGCCAAGCTGAAGGGGAATACAAAAGAATTACCGTAATCCCGGACTAATTGTAAGATCCAGCGTGAGAATTAGAATCCGGTGATTGCTAAAACTACATAAGAGTGCTAAAAATCTAGAATTTACTCAAGAATCTACCTTAATCTACCTAGAATCCATAGAAGAAGAGAAATATAATCCCTTAAGCTGCTCAAGAATACTGAGTGCTTAATCTAGTGTAACCCAGACTGGATTCAATAAAGCGCTACTTTCCTAAAGCTCACCCGTATCCACCGTATCCACCGGATCCACCGTATCCACCGTAACCATAACTAGGATAATATCCCCATTGCGCATTGGCCACAATGAGCAGATTGATTAGAATTAAAAACATAACAACACAACTCATATTGAGAAAATGCAATATTAGCCGCATTCCATCGCAATGACAAACCTTTTATATCAAATTTTCGCTTTTTTTCCCCCATTTGCCCTCAATAAATAGACGATTTGCTGAATTGTTTAGAATCGGTCAAAAGACTAAAGAAAATGCTTAAAGATCACCTAGCGGCTGTCGACCAAAGCCCGTGTTTGGCAAAGAAATGAAATTAAAAAGCAAATCTCTTGCTATTTTCTCACCTATTTCTTCAAGGTCACTCGGAAATGGAAACTCAGCGACAAAATTTGTTTACTAGTGGGTTTTTGTGGAGATCAACGATTTGAATCTCATCTGATTACATGGTTGTTTGATTTGTGACTCTAAAAAGTCAATTTGAACTAAAAACTTTTGATCTGGCTGGGAAAAGCGTAAAATTTATCGAATTTATCGAATTTTTTGCAGCGAAAGTTAGAAATCGTGGTTTTATTTGTACTTTTTCAGTCTCAAGTGAAACTTTTATGTCCAATTAAAGAAAAGTTTAGCTTTTTAAGCTTTCAAACAACAATGAAAGAGTGCAAGAACAAAAACAAAAAGAAACGAAACATTTTGAATACTCTTTGTTGTCCTTGTCGTTGTCCTTGTCGGAGAATCAGTTGTTGAAGTTGTTGAGGTGCTGAAATGAAGCAAGAAATTTGCTCCAGTTGTATTCGACGTGGTGAATTCGACCTGAAATCATGACTTTAATTGGAGGATTTTATTTTTAATTTACCCGAAATGAGGAAGCATTTCGATTCTGAGAGAATCCAGTGGTCGTTTTGTTTAATCTAAAGTTTTAAAAGTTTTTTAAAAGAATCTCAGAAATCTCTCACATATATCCGACTTGATTATCAAATGAAAGCTTTAATTGTGGCGTCCCAGCTTGGCCATCAAAAAATTGATCAACCAAAATGTTGAAGTAAACACTTTGATTAGCAAAAACTAAAATTTAGTGATTCTCTTTGGCTATAACATTTTTGACACTGGGAATTGCAGGATTCAACTGAAAGCTTTTGGTAAAACTCCAGAGAACCAATGCATTGGTCCTCTGGTGCAAAGTAATACCTATTTTAAAGTTAGCTTTTGAAAATTACCACTAGAATTGAGTGCATACTGCACACAGGGGGGTATTAATCGCGACCGGGTGACCATAAACATTTTTTTACGGCAACCACCTGTTTTTTTTATTTTAATATCGTTGATTTTATTATAAAAAGAATAAAAATCACCCGGCTAGAGTGATTTGATGGGTTTACAAATTTTTTGTAGACGCTGCAAGGCTCGCGTAGTTCATCTACAAGGTAAGTGCGAAAGTAAAGCAAAAGTCAGGCATTATGTTTTCTTTTTGTTTTCTTTAGACTTTCGGTCTTTAGATTTTTATTATTTTATGTTTAGATAATGCAAAAGGTCAACAAATCACCCTAATCTATCTATTAGAGTGTGTTCCGCTCGAGTAATGCGTTTTCTAAAAGGCACCTATTTGAGAAAGCTAAGATGGAAACGACCACAAATGGAAAAAGGATCTAATTGTGTCAATCAAAGCGCTAAAGACGTCCTAAAGACTAAAATTTTTATGGTCACCCGGCCGCGATTCATACTCCCCCTTTAAAACTTTTGGTAAAACTCCAGAGGACCAATGTAGTACCTATTTTAAAGTTAGATTTTGAGAATTACCACTAGAATTGAGTGCATACTGCAAATTCACATTCATTCCACCATTTCCACTCCCGATCATACTATTCGGATAATCTCGACTCATCACAAAACCATTTCTCGGCACAACATTCATCAGCACTCCATGCTTACCAGAATAATCTACAAGTGAATTTGTACATTACCCGAAAGCCAACCAACCTTTACTGTAATCGGCTGCATCTATTGAAATTGGACAATTTGGAGGAACAGAAATGGTAGCTGAATATGATGGAATGAACGACAAAGAGGAAGCGGGGCCAGTGTTCGCTGAGCTGAAATTTGGGTATTGTCTCAAATGTTCGATGAAGTCAAATAAAGTAGATTTGGAAATCTCGAACTTGAAAGTGTGAATGAGATAGCGATTTGCACCAGCTGCTGCAGGATAACCACCTTGATACACTAAATGCTCACAGCCGGCCTTCACCTGAAGTTCCGAATGAAAAGTTCTGAATCAAAAGCTCCGAATCAAACGTTCCGAATCATAAAACTATCTTCATTCTTTCTTCAAGGCATTTTAATGAATACGGTAATTTGTCCACCTTTTTAGAAAATCAAGTTAAAGATAGCCGAATTGTCTACCTGATTGGTTGGTTGGCCTAAGGGAATTGTCTACCTGATTTGTTGGCCTAAGGGAAATTGTCTACCTGATTTGCTGGCCTAAGGGAATTGTCTACCTGATTTGTTGGTCTAAGGGAAATTGTCTACCTGATTTGTTGGCCTAAGGGAATTGTCTACCTGATTTGTTGGCCTAAGGGAATTGTCTACCTGATTTGTTGGCCTAAGGGAATTGTCTACCTGATTTGTTGGCCTAAGAGAATTGTCTACCTGATTTGTTGGCCTAAGGGAATTGTCTACCTGATTTGTTGGCCTAAGAGAATTGTCTACCTGATTTGTTGGCCTAAGGGAATTGTCTACCTGATTTGTTGGCCTAAGGGAAATTGTCGGCGAAGCATAAAGTGATGGCATTGCCGTGAAGATCGCAAATGTACCATAATTACCAGAGCTCTAAAATAAAATTTCTTCACTAAAACCCACTAAGAAGTGTAAGAAGTGTAGCTTAGAAATGAATTTTGTCTATCTATTTCCTTATTTTCACAAACCGGATTCGAATATGTGTGCAAGTAGCCATCGTTTGGGACAATCGTGAAAATGCGACTCCCATAAAAAAGAAGCGAAGAAGTTGCTGAGATGTTCATGATTTTCAGCCAGTTTTAGACTTTTTTTTTTAAGGTTTTAAGGCGATCACAACTAACTAGAGGTGTGATTCTCGATATTGAAATGTCACTTGACAAGTTTTACGACGAAATCTTTACAATCTGTCCAGTTGACAAGTCGAAAACTGAGACTGTACGAGCTAACGGGAGACTTGTCGACGATCGTGATTGTTCCAAGGAAAGCTTGCATCTTTGTCGAATTCAATGTTTTTGAACTAAATGAGAAATCAATTTTAAAAAAATGGAAAAAGCTCACTCAATCGTTGTATTCGACGAATCAGTAATCACAAAATCGGTATCTGTTTGCCTTGTTCCGTTTTCGAATTTCACCATGAATTGAACAGAGTAGTATGCACCACTGAGTATGGTGATTGGCTGAAAGAGAACTGGATTTACTTGGATTTGCTTGGAACTGGCTTTGCTTGGAACTGGATTTGCTTGGAACTGGATTTGCTTGGAACTGGATTTGCTTGGAACTGGCTTTGCTTGGAACTGGATTTGCTTGGAACTGGATTTGCTTGGAGCTGGATTTGCTTGAATGCATCCTTCTAAAAGCACACGTTTTAGAAAACAACCGTAATCCAATTGTGCAAGTATAAAAACCATCAAATAGCATCATTTAATAGAACTAAAGCAAAAAGAACAAGCGAAAAAAGAAATACCGAAAGCAATTTCGTCTGATATCCACTCACAACCCATGTCGAATCGAGTTCAGTTAAGTTAATCGTTTGCGCACCGTACACTAAAATTGAGATTTTGAATTTATAAAGTCAAAACCGACATCCTTTCAAGCAGAAAATACCCATCAATAGTTGAAATTTGAACATTTCCAAAGAATGTTTCCAATAGAAAAGCCTTATTTCAAGTACTGAAAGTGTGCTTTTCAAACTTTCAGTCGACTCAGTTTGTCCACCCACCCAATTTCTATCGTCTTATCAAGCTATTAATCGATTGTCACAAGTACACCAAGTGTCCTTTAAACTCTCAGTCTGAGCCATTCAGTTTGTCCACTCACCCATCCTTATCTTCAAGCATAAAACTCTTTTCAAGATTCCCCTTTTGCTTACAATCTCTTCTAAAATGTCTGTCTGTGGTCATCGAATAAATCATCTGCTTACAAAGAGTCATTGTCGAGTTGAATCATGTGGAAATGGCGAGATTTTCCGAAACAAATTCGATCGCAATCAAATCAAATCGAAATTAACTGTTAGTAGATTTTTGTATAGCATTTTATCATCACTCAAAGAACTCTAAAAAGACCAATAAACGGATCATAAACTGATCAAAACACAATCTTTGCAATCATTTCCCAAATTCAATGCTTATTATCAATCATTTATTTGGTTCATAAAAAATAAAAACTTACTAGCGGTACAACAAAATTAACAATAAAATACACTTGCGATTTGATGAGAATTTGAAATATTATTTCCACATCACCGAACTTCGATCAAAAAGAATTTCTCGAATTCGAACTAAGCAAATAACTACAGTTCTTTGGCCTATATTGGTAATCATTTTCTTGTAAAGTACGCCAGAAATATCGGCGAAACTTTCACTTGTCAAAAAACCATAGAGACTTGTTTTCTGGACTGGATCAAAAAAGAATTTCTCGAATTCTTCTTCAAAATCCCTCTCATTTCCCAAATCGATTAGAAGTTTTTCAAAAATTTGTAAAAAATTGGATCGGTCTAGCGTTTCCTTGAGTTTTACGAACATTTTTAAGCTCGCTTATCTCTTTCAAAAGTTTTGCATCAATCCCAATCCTATATTTTCATCGATTCTCTCGAAAACCCAATTAGTATTGCCACGAATTACTTATCAATGGCCTATGCGATGAAAAGTGTCGGGAGATTACGATAAAGGAGCATTATTTGAAGTCAATTAGGCCTACCTATCTGGCTCTTTCACAAAACCTCTGCCGTTTTCTGTGCAGTCGCGGAAACGCGTGCTTTCTGGCACACGTCTTTTCCCTATACCCTTCTCTTTCCTCCTTGAAATCAGCTTTGCGCAGAGGCGATAACGTGACCAATGAGGCCTAGCCGAGGTGCGTTTATTGCTGGTTGAAAACTGATACCAATTACCCGTCGCTTTCTGCCCTGAAATATGGGTGTTAGCGCAATTTTTGGAAGGCCCTAGGGGCCAAATTGGATAAACACTAAAAAGTTATGGCTTTTTTTGGCACCGATGAAGTAACTTCTTCGATACAACAATGATCCCAAGCCTCTTAGAAAAGACCTTCTTTAAATAAATTCTTGATCCAAATCGAATTTCCCTCTTGTAAAAGACTCATAATATCGTGCTGAATTTACCAGCAATTGACTAGGAAAACTTTTTGCCTTTTTAAGCTTTCTTCAGACATTCGATTACTGAGAGAAGCGATTTGCTTTTGTTTCGATTCAAAGATTCGACTTCTCACGAACAACTCGGACAAGCCATCGATTTATTCGATCGTTTCCGAGCGTTTCTCTAAATTTCTCTCAGAAAAGCGGCTCAATCAAAGCAAAACACTCTACTGGGACTCATTTTTCCCATTAGAATCCGAAAAACTGGCAAGAACAAATCCAAAGTGATCCGACTTTGGGTGGATCACAATTTCGATGCAATGCTCGAGTTTTTGATGTTATAGAAATGTCATAGAAAGGCTCATAGAAAAGACTTTCTTTAAGTGAATTCTTCATCAAATCGAATTTCCCTCTTATAACAGACTCATAATATCGTGCTGAATTTACCAGCAATCAACTAGGAAAACTTTTTAGGTTTTAAGCTTTCTTCAGACATTCGATTACTGAGAGAAACGATTTGCTTTTGTTTGGAAGTTTTAAAAGGAATCATAGTGACATTACAGCTGCTTAGACAATGAAGGGAAGAAAACATTCGTTTCGACTTCTTTTTTCTTGAACTTGAAAGTCAAAGTTGATTTTTGAATAATGGCGAAAAGATCCAAATAATCCAAAATTGAACAAGTTTATTCACTGATCAACTGACATAATAAATTGTACCCTTTTTTCAAAAAGTGCTCAAATCGAAAAGTGGTTTTGAAAGGTTGCGTCAGAAGAAATTTGAATGATTCTGTGATTGTTTGTCGATAGTTTTTCGTGAGTGGACGAATGGAATCCTAAAGAAAAACTGTTTCAAGCATTTATTCCCATTCAACTTTAAGAAAACCAACCAGCACTGCGGATTCGGTCAAAATTTGAACCATTATCGTGTCTCTTGAAGCCATCCACGGTTGGTATGACTGAAAAGTTGCAAATCTTAATTAGAATTTGCACAAATTTGAGTTAAGGCTTTGTTTTTAGATTTCTTTGCTATTTTACTGAAAAAGTAATGAAAACAAACAAACTTGAGTGTATCCATCATTGCCTAAAGCCGCCCAAACACACGCGTTGAGATCATTGTGATAACGACTCACGATTTTATAGTAGCTTTGACGAAACTGAAGCGCTGGGATATCATTTGATTGAAATTTTTAAATTCAGGGAAAACTTCCGACTCTTGCAACTCAACCAGAAGCCTTCAAAACACTAATCTTTACAATAAAACTGTAGAAAAAGTGTTAGCACAAACTGAATAACTTTTTAAATTTTAAAATTCACCTAAAAGTTTCGCCTTGTCAATAAAAGATAGATATAATATATAAAATTCAAAGTATCTGTGAACGAATTAGATCTTATTGCCATGTCAAATCTGCCCTATATTTAATCTTTTTGTATCATTGTTTCCTAACTGTACTCTTACTGTACTATCTTTAGTTTTCTCTCTTTTTTCGGTGAAGTATTGTATCATTTGCAGTTATCATTATCTGATTCGCTTCCTATTCGCCCCATGAATAAAGCATATATATATATATATATATATATATATATAATTCGCAAAGACAGATAGACTGAAGATAGTCTATCTGTGTTAGCTACAGATAGACTCAAAATCTTTGAGTCTATCTGTTAGTTCCACAGATCGACTCAAAATCTTTGATCTTAAATCTCTTAGACACCGCCGCTTGGTCACAGTTTAATAGAATGTTTCAAAATTGTAAACTACAGGCAATCTATCCCTCTTTTTCGAGATTGATTTAAAGTTAATCCCACGTTTAATTCAAGGAGAGGTTCTTTCGTTTTAGAAATTCCAGTCACCTTCAATAAATTTGTGTATAACTCTTTTCCAATAAGAACTGTCAGAATTTGGAATCGACTTCACAGGTTTTGAGAGAGTCCAATAATCTCGAAACCTTTAAATTATCTGTAGATGATCTTGTTCTTGAAGCTCTAGTGGATTCTTGACGTTATCTGTGAAAGCCATATATTACATACATTATTTCCATTAGATCGTTTTGCTTTTTATCCGTCCTTTTCGTTTTTATGTTTATGAATTCATGTGTATTAATCTTAAATTCTTGCGTACTTTATTTCAGGTCCTAAATAAAGTATCTATATAAAAGACTTTGATTTGCTTGATGAAGAATACGGGCGACACATTATTCCCATTGTATCGTGTTGCTTTTTATCCGTCCTTTTCGTTTTTATGTTTATGAATTCATTTGTATTAATCTTAAATCTTGCGTACTTTATCTCAGATCATGAATAAAGTATCTATATATATATATAACACAGTGGCTTTATAGCAAATTCTTGTAAACTCACTTTGCGAACATTCTCTTTACTCATTCCAAACGTGTCACGCATTGCGGGAACGAGATGTCGTTGAAAGTATCGATCAACAACACATGAGGCTTGCATTATTGCATTTAATTGATTTCTGACGATACTATTCTAAAATGAAGAGCTTCATTCAAAATCTGATTGATCAACCTCGATCCAATCTCTTGTCCACTCTTCCGTCAATTTGATTTTATTCTTACAGCTCTTCACCCAACCAATATCGTCATGGAAAAACTGCAAAATGATTAACTTTTATCGTTTTTTCTTTGATTACATCGTAAGCCCTTTCTAGCAGATTACTTCCATCAGAAAGGTGTAAATTAGTGCCATTGAAAAGCTCATTCAGTATAATTCCCGGGATTTTTGGATTCTCATTTCGATAATCGTATTGAATAAATGATTTAACATTCAAAAAAATAGCTGAATATAAAATAATTTTTAATAAAAGTGTCATTGGTTGTGTTGTTTTTGTGGGGAAAGGGTTGGCAAACTTTTCAGCTCAATTATTATCGGATCGCGTTGAGCAGCGTTTTGAAACGAGCAAAGATTGAGGCTTAGTTTTTTAAAAATCAAAACCAAGTGATCTAAAGCACTGTGAAATTTGTTTTACTGTGAAACTTGTTTATTCTTTGTCAAAGTGGTGTAAAATATAAGAATTATTCTATGAAAACCCTTAAACTATAAAGTATCGACTGTCCTCACTCGATTTCGCATAAACCCATTCATCGAGATCTTTCAGAGCCGAGTAACACGTTAATCCGGTCGGTTTGAGGCAATCTTCGCCCGGATTCTCATGCATTGCTCTGTAAAATTGTTATACCCTATTTTCTCTAATAGTAGTGCACTCCGGCGAGCCGAGTTGGTGACGATTTTACGGTTTCCAAGCTTTTGCAAGAAGAGCTTTTGCCCAACACTCAAATCCCCACAAGATCTGATCGTCAGCTACATTTCCGACCCCACATCGATAGGTTCCTGATAAGCGGTTCTCGAGATTTCGAGGAATTTCGAGGACGCTCTGGAGTGCACTACTATTAGAGAAAATACGGTAATCATTATTGTTTAAAGGAATTCCAATGTTTGTAACACAAATTCTTTACCGTCGTGTACAATTCTTGAGAACGAGCATCGTTTCTCGAACTCTGAATGGCGGCTGAGAGTCGCCAAAAATTTGATCCAGAATGAAGCTCATCTCCGGGATTGCTTCATCCTGAAAACGCTTTATTCAACTCGCAAATCGTCTACGACCGTAAATACTATAACTGAAGGGCATGCTCTTCTATTTTTCACTTTTCTTCTTCGGACTCCACGAAAAATCACATAAGGGGGACTGGAACATATCAAATTTAAAAAAATCTTTTAAAATCACTTTAGCTCGATTGAAATTGCTCTAGAACAAACGAAAAACATGTTTGGAGATCGGACTCTCAAAAATGATAACCGCCATCCAATTTTTTCTTAAAAAATTTCTTTTAGATCCTTTTAAATATTACTGCCAACCCTTTTAGGTTATCAGAAACGGCTGTCAGCTCCGAGCCAAACTGATATTTTAGTTACTATTGTTATTATTGAATGATTTGTCTATTCTTATGCAAATGTGTCCTCCCTGTGCTTATCCCTTTTATTGCCGAGAAGGGGCGGTCCTTGGGACTGCCCTAGGAGGACAAGGGAGACTCTCATTTTGGAGTCCCCCTTCCCCTTACACTCATTTCTAATCTATTCATCTTATTGTATTACTGTAAATAAAGATACATATCTTCCGGGTCTATGCAACTGCAGTACAGGTCAGTCATTTCACAGGGACTCCCCTCTAATACGTTGAAGGAGTTGGAGTTGGGTTGTCAGGGTGTTAGAGATGGTGGGATATCAAAGGGATCCACTCTCTTTAACTTAACCCAAATTCTAGTCCACATCCGTTTATGCCTAGGAACGTATAGGCCGTATAGGCGGAACGTATAAACCGGCCCATCAACGCCATTCTAAGCACTTTTCAGCCAAACTCTTTTCCAAAAGTAGTGACTGTTTGGGTCACCAATTTTGTATGGCGAAGGTTCCCTGGAATTACAGTATTTACGGTATTTCTTTTTACCTCAAACATTTTGAAAATCGGGATAGATTCGTGGTGTCCCCTCGAGTTGTCATTTCATTTCGCATGTGAAGATAGATCACTTGCTCTGTGGGAGGCTGGAAATTGTTCAAAATTAATAAAAACTTATTATTAGTATCAAATCGACTTTACTAATCCTAGAACTCCTTTTTAAGAAACCATTTGGGATTTCTTGTTTCCAAAGAAGTTTGTAATCTCGTTAGACCCAAGGCAATTTGCATATTCAGTCTGAGTAGATGTACTGAGAATCTCATGAAAAATTAATTTAATCCCAACCTTTTTCAACTCACTTTTTGTGGTCTACTCGACTCAAACGGGTGTCCTTTTTTGACAATGTTTAACTCTCGGGATTTACCATAATCCCAAGGTTCATCCGGGAAACCGAGACCGTGATGATCAAGATTGAGCTCCTAGGTCTTTCTATTGAAAGTTGTTGGATCATGAAGCGAAAATCACTTGATCTTTAAAACACATAACCCGAATGTACTAACGACTTGGCCGATCCAAAAATGACTTTAATAACGTATAACAATGCGTTTGAATGTCTAACAGACGCCCGGGTATTCAGCCGGATTCATTTGTCGTCTCACCACATCAAGAAGAGTTTCACTCCGATTTCTGAAAAGCAGAAAAGGAGACAAATCATTTTCAAGCCTTTCCCTCACCGCACATAAAAAATCTCATCAACGTCGTTCATTGTCGTGTATTTTGTGTCCGACCAAACACCACAAAATGCGGTTGTTAAATGCTCAGCCAAATAGTAAACATGATTATTTGGATTGTATTGTGATGTGAAAGGCATCAAAGGGAAGGGACGGGTCTCAACAAGGCCCTAGAGTTGAGAATTTTATGGAATTTGCAAAGGTTTCTCAAAAAACCTTTTGAACATAATAATCGATGATTCTCATTGTCGGCGCTGAAACCCAGTGAACGTGAAGGAGAATTTTGTTGATCTTATTCCTCTTCCACCACTCGAAAAAACGAAAAGTCTCAGCCAATCATTGGACATTATGATTTCTACCGTAAATACTATAATAGTATCACAATCTCCATAATGACGATGCGAAGTGTTACGTAGTTCTAGCTTTGAACGAGTTTTCTCGACACTTGTTTACGCTACAATGCGCGTTTAAGTATCAAAAATATGGCTCTGAATTTCAGCTATCTTTTGATGCCTAAGTGCGCATTGTAGCCTAAGCTCAGTGTCGAGAAAAACTCGTTCGAACTGGAACTACAGCTCCACACCGTCGTGATGGAGTGAGCTACTATTACGATATTTACGGTGATAGCGATGGGAATTCGCTATTATTTTGAAAGTCCAAGGGTTTAATTCCAAAAAGTTCGATCAAATAGAATCGTTTATTAAAGTGTTTTGATAATATAAACTCACCAAAATAGCGGTGCAATGATACAAGAATTGATCTGAGTCTTTATATTCTGTCGGCATCTTGTGCAACTTTACTTTGGCTCTTCGATTTTTCGAACTGATTATAATCTGATTATTGAATGATTGATTTTGGCTCCTTTACCTCTTCCAGGGATGACTCCTCGGTAGATGACAGTTGTTAAATCGGTTTCTTGTAGTCGACAACCATTCCCATTACAAATGCTATCTTTAAAAAATTGTTTTCTAATCGATAATTAGTTTAAACTAGATATCAGAGATGTTTAAAATTTCTCGAGAAATCTCAAAATCCATTAACTTTATCCGTTTTTGGAAGCCTGACTATCTCCATTGCTTCAATCCAAGCAGTTTTTAGTTGAATCACTGGAGAAATCTCAATCAACAAATCCTCTTTCCTCAATTCCTTGCACACCGTGTTCGCTCAAAATTCGTATCCCTTGGCCCTTCTGGGTCTCTAAAATGGCGGAAAAGATCGGAAAAGATCGGAAATTCGATTCAAAGTGAATATAAAACCTGCGATCATAGAATGCGGCGTACCACACAAGGATCTCCTTTCCGTCCAACGATCCATCCGGCAATTTGTACTGTTCCACTGTTCCAAAGCCCAAAATTCTCCTTGTTTTCTGAATGAGTTTATTGGTCAAGCAAAGAGCCTGACTTCATAGTCAAATTGTCCAGATTAACAGCTTACTTTTATTTCTCCTTAGATTGATCGACCATCATTTGATCATCGTTCGCTCGATTCTTCACCTCTAAAGACAACAACAGCATAAATATAGCACCCGTGTATAAGAAAAGGGATTTTCTTTGAAGATGCAGAAAGAAACGGAAATATCCCATTAAAGCTATATGAATAATATTAGCAATTAGCAATAATATTAGCACTTAATATTAACAATTTTGTTCGCACAATCGGTAGATTTCATTCTTTCTGGAAGGGAAATGGGAATTTATGTACACAGCAGTTTTTCGTTAATTTGAAGAGCTGAAAATCTCTTTCTTTTTAAAAGCAAGCACAATTTCCATGTAAATTATGTAAATTTACTCCAATCTACAAGCTTTTTAAAGTACATTTTAGCTCTCTAAACCCTAAATATATAAATGCAAAAGCGGATTATTCTCTAATAATTGTTTTTTTACTTTCTGGAGCCTTCAATTTAGGGCTAAGTGGACGAAGTGGACGCACCATCTTCTTTGTAAGCCTACCGTATTCTGCCAGAATGTATCAAATGTATCCAGAAACGGTGTGATTCAAATGTTCAGTTATTTTGATTCTATTTTTTACGCCTTGTGTCAAAAATATTGTTTCAAGTAGATTGAGCTGTTTTCTTTGAGATCCTCAATAATCTTTCAAGTAACACAATTTTTTCTGTTATTTCTGTTTTTCTGTTTTCTGTTTATTGAACTTCACGGTGACTAATTGCGGTTCTTCTTTTTTCTCTTTAAAAACTCTCAAATTCACCTATTTTACAAATTCATTTTGAACAAAGGTTAGTGAAAATGTCTAGCAAGATCTCGGGATATCTATTGGAGTATCTATTGGAAGTGATTGTGAAAAAGCCAGAGACT